AAATGGTAAAGTACTATCCAAGGTTTGTTCTTTCTTAGGAACAACTAATTCCACTTTCGGAACTTTTTATTTTATTGTTCCAGGAAGATGATGCTACTTGATCAAGAGAGAATGTACAGGGAATTATTTTTCCAATAAAGATGAGGCACACCTTTCTCTGTTCACTGGACTCTTCTCTTAACTGATGGCACGTGTTTGTGAGGCCACACTTCTAGACTGGGTGTAGTCTCTAACCATGCAAGGGACCATCAAAAGTTGACTAGTCCACCAAGTTACATTAGCAGCCTGATTCTCTGATGCAAAGCTTCCCAGCTGGCATGCCTGCTGAGGACAGTTATCAATGCCCTCAGCCCATGGGGTGGGCCTGGGCCACCTGGAGCCCTTGAAGTAGTTACATCAAGCTAGTCCCAAACTGCTTTGTAGGTGTGCCCCAAAGTATTAAAGAAATATTTCCAATTTTCAAAAAGACATGAAAAGGGTTGGTAAATACTGCAGTCTAACCAGCATGACTGACTAATTTGAGTTCTGGACAAAATTAAATTGGTATTAACAATTAATACCACTTTTAAAGCATTTACCTTGTGCTATATATATATTTTAAAGACTTAGTTTTGGTCTTAAAAAACTCTGCAAGACAGGTTTTTATCCTTTTACAGAAGATGAAACCAAGGCTGGAGCAGCCAAGTTTAGCTACCAGTAAATAGTCAATTAAAACTGGAATTCATGTCTCCCTAGTCTAAAACCACCTCTGGCAGAAGAAAAATCCCAAACCCATCACCATCTCATATACACAGTAATGAAATGGCTTACACTGTAATACAGAATCCATTTTCTTCCTCCTATCGACTATGTCTTTTTTATACTATTAGCAGAGATTTACTTCTTGTATCCTGCACATCAAATATTTTCCAGAAAAGTGGCTAACAAAACCAATTCTACTGTGGTTACATCTAGGGAGGGAGAGAAATGATTGAGGGGCAAGGCTTCAACTATACCTATAACTTAAGTCTCTTCTAAACAGAACAAAAGCAAACATGTTAACATCTGCTTATTCCTAGTGATGGGTAATAGGTGTTTGTTATGTATAAATAAAAGTTTAAAAATAGAAGTCATTACAACAATTAAGGCAAAAACTCTTCCAAATGATCATGCATAAATTCCTTGGTTATGAAATAAATTGAATTTCTTAATCTTTTTATACCTACAAAAAGGGAATGAATCAAAGGGACGCTTTAAATTTTAACTTGCCAGTCCCACTTTGTATTTAGCCATTTATGTGTTTGACAGAGCACCAATATTCTCATAGTAACAGTTTCCACACTTGTGAGTCATTTTGATTCAGGCTTTTCAACCACAGCGCCTTGCTTATGTCCTTACAACCTCTTTCACGACTGTGGTGATGGTGCTGGGGATGCTGGGAAAGGCTTCAGAGGACATAATATCTGAGCTAGAGCTGAAGAGTCAATAGGAGTTTGCCATGCAGAGTGGCCACTCCAAGCAGATGCAAAAGACACAGAGGTATGAAATGATTACTTGGAACTTTCTGGTTGATAAAGCTTGGAAAAGTAAACTAATTCACAGGCTTGAAAGGAGAATGCAGAGGTAGCTGGGAGTAGTTATAGATGGGAGGTAGCTAGAGGTCAGATCACAAAAGGTCTTGTATGCCTTACATAAGCTTTCGATCCATCCTTCAGGTCAATGGCCACCACAGAAGTCTACACTCATCTATTGAGAGTTGAAGAAATTATTAGAATTCATTTTTATAACTCTTTGCCCCATCTTCTAATTTTTGTGTTTCATAATATATATTAGTATATCACTTCATATATAAATTTATAAATTATTATAAATCACTATCCATATATCAGAGGCATGTATTCAGGTTCTTTGTTTTTGTTTTATTTTGTTTTTTATGGAAAGAGCTCCAGAATCACATAGCTTGAAGATGGAGGCTTCAGGCAACAGCAAGTTGACTAATTCTCTCCTTCTCAGATTACCTTTTTGCTGAGCCCTTACTTCAGATCAGCAGATTACCTTGTCACCAGAACTAACACCATAGTATTCTAACTCCTTTTCCTGTCTCTATTCTTTCCTGCCTTGCTTACAACTTCCTAGGTGTCAGGAAGACGATTCCGTGTGTTTAATTCTGCACATATGGATTATAAAATAATAGAAATATATTTCAGATTGGAAGAGAGGTGTATGAGGAAAGGATTCACAGAGGAGCTTGGACTCTACCTTGTAGGCACTGAAGAGCCCAAGGGATTAAAATCCTTCCTTCAGGGAACCAGCATGATAAAATTTGCATTTTTAGGAAAATCATTTCCAGAAATCTAGAAAATGGAATGAATGGGGAAGAAATCAGGCTGGAAGAATCATAGCAGACTACTGTAATAAATGCATCACTTTTTTTTTTAATTAAGCAGGTCTTACTGTGGTTCTCAACATATAAAACAAATAAAAGCAATAAGCCAGTTCTTCCCTATTTAAAGAAACTAAGAAAAAGGCACAGGAAAAACAGGGCAGCAAAAAGTTGAGAAAGAAATTAAAGAAAAGGGAGAGAACGAGGGAGAGAGTGTCAGTACAGCCATGGGAGATGAGAGTTTCAAGGAGGGGTCGATATGACTGAAAGTTAAAAGAGGTCAAGAGAAAGATTTACAAGCGCTTATTTAGATTTGGCAAGATTACCAATGACCCTCAGTTAGTGCTGTTTCATTATAGTGGTGATAGACATCTGGCTACAGTAGGGTGAAAAGGCAACAGGACTTAGGGAAATAGGTGTATGCTTCTGTTTTGAGGAACTTGGTTATAAATGGAAGGGGAGGGTAGTGTAGAGGTGCACAAAGGTTCAAGAGTCTATGTGTCTGTGTTTAAAAGTGGAAGTCATGTGAACATGTTCAGTGTTTTTAGGCAAGTAACCAGTAGAGCAATTTACAATAAAAAGAGAACAGGAACTAATTGATGGAAACAAATCCCAGAGAAGAAAGGATACAATTATAACAGCTTAGGTGGAGGAAGCAGCCCTACTTAAACTAAGCAATACTACAAATGGCCTACCATATATAGTTGAAACTACTTAACTTGACATGTTAAATTTTTTTAGATAATTTGTCTCCAAGTTACTTTTCCCACTCTTCTACATTACATCTTCACTTTCCATCCCTTTATATTTTTCCATGTTATTCCTATTTAAATGCTATCTTCCTTCCGCCCCACTCTCCAATCTAGGTAAGGTTCAAGGTCCAACTCAAATACCACTTGTCCCACACAGCTCTTTTTGATTTTTTCATAAAAGTCCTTTGTCAGGGGTTTGACTCTCTACCCCTCATATTGCCTTAATAGGCTACCACTTTAAAAAAACACTGTACATTTCTTTTTGTCTGTGTGTATCTATTCTATGCACTTTTCCACTTCTCATTGATCTCAATGACCTTTACTAGACTACACCACAGATGTGGGTTCAAATTAGATCGGTCTGAAAATAAGCCCCTCTTGTGCCAAATATAATTTTCTTGCATAACCAGTTACAGCCAGAGTCGGACCAGGCTTGCAGAGCTGGGCTAATGATACTGAACAACTGGTAATGACAGTACTGGTGAAAATCTGAAACTGAGCAGGTCCCTTCAGGGCCCTCCTGGGTACAAAAGCCCTCTGTGTCTCCCATTTTGTGTCAAAAAAACAAACAAAACCCAAAAAAATTCAGTCTCCTAGGCCTTCCCTGAGCTCCAAAGAGCGGACCCAAGCAACTACTAATTAGGGAAGTTAGGGGAGTTAGGGAATGGGTAGGGGGTAGGGGGGAAGCAGTTAAGCCAGATAGCCTGAACAATAGTTCAGTGATAAATAGAGTCCTAGTTCCTCCTCAAGGGATATACAAAACAATCTGATGGCATATCTTTGGGTAGTTCTGCAGAAACTAACCCCTCAACCTGGTGGAGGATGGTGACTACCTGCTGACCACAAGTACTTAGACCTCAGACTGGCTAGAACCATAAGGCCAATGATTCACATTCTCTAAACACCAGACTGTTACCTCACCCCCCATTCAATCAGAATGTCATGCACCCTGCAGCCCTCACCCCAAATCCCTGCAGCCCTCATCCCAAATCCCTGCAGCCCTCACCCCAAATGTTGCTTTTAAAAGTCCTAAAAGCCATCAGGGAGTTCGGGACTTTTCAGCACCGGCTGCCCATTCTCCTTGCTTGGCACCCTGCAATCACCACTGGACTTTCCTTCACTACAACCTGGAGTCAGTAAAGTGGCTTTCCTGCGCGGTGGGAAAGGGGACTCCAGTTCAGTTCCATAACAAACTGATCTGTACTCATGCTCCTGAGCAAGCCACACACTCTAATGAAAGCGCACGCCTTCAGCAGTTCTTCTAAACTGCCTTCCCTTCCGGTCTCCCGAAAGGAAGCAAGACTCCTTTCGAGTAACCCCTGCTAAAAGCTAATGGAGAAAGCAAGCACTTTGGAAGCAAACACTGAGCAGGAAGACGAGGAAAAGCGTTAGCCCTCCAAGTTGCCCAATTCCCTCCCCCGCCCCCACCCTACGCACGTCACGCCACGCCACGCCGATGGCATGGCGCCCCACCCGCCCCGTCCCAGGCTGCCCTGCCTCCCGCCTCGCCGTGCTGGGAATTAGCGCGGAGGCTGCTCTCACGCACTGGTGGAAGGAGAGGCCGCGCTCCCGGCTCAGCACGGTATCCCGGGTGCTGCAGCCCACTGCCGAGCAACTTCGGGTCATCTTCTTGCTACGTGGGGCTCCACCGTCGGTGTTCCCGCGACAGCATGAATCCCGATAAAGTTAGCTCCGCCTGCAGACACTGTGGCTATGACCTTTATTTGTCGAGAAAAGCGTGCTCTTAAGGCGCAGGGTTCCCACCCTTTCTCTCCGGGGGCCCTGCGGCAGTCTCCGTGGCCAATCACAGACCACGTCGTGTCGCAGCAGCCAATCGGAAAGGCCAGGGGCATTAAGACGCGCATTGGGCCGCCCCTCCCCGCTTATTGGAGGGTGGTTACTGGATTTAGCGGGCATGGGCTCCTTTTCGTCCGTGCTCTCTGGTTAAATCCAGTGCCGTCGCGCTTCTTGTAAGTCTCAGCGAGAGAATGCGAAGGGGAGAGGCAGGACCAAAGCTGAGGCGAATCCAGTAGCATGCCGATGCGTCTCCAGGTGCGAGCTCTGAAAGTGACGGGAGGATGTGACGGGAGGGACAGGAGGGAGGGGGTAAACGCAGCGCCTTAGAAATATTGAAGACAAAATTGGACCCCGAATAAATGATTTACTGGGAGGCATGTCATTTCCTTGCATTTTATTTTTTTATAAATTTATTTATTTATTTTTGGCTGCATTGGGTCTTAGTTGCTGCGCGCAGGCTTTCTCTAGTTGTAGAGGGTGGGGGGCTACTCTTCCTTGCAGAGCGCGGGCTCTAGGTGCGTGGGCTTCAGTAGCTGTGGCGCACGGGCTTAGCTGCTCCAGGGCATGTGGGATCTTCCCGGACCAGGGCTCAAACCCATGTCTCCTGTATTGGCAGGTGGATTCTTAACCACTGTGCCACCAGGGAAGCCCCTTGCCTTTTATTTTGTAGTTCTCTGATGCAGAGATAATGTAGGAGCTATTGGTATGGTTGACTGTTAGGTATGTGACCTCAGAGGAGCTTGAATGAGAATGTAATACCAAGATAAGTCGACTTTCAATTCAACTGACTCTTTCCTGCAAGATCCTTTGCCGCAATGGGGGAATTAAGAAGGGAATAAGGTAAGAAGGTCCTCAAGGTTTGGGGGTAAGCGCACGGTCTAGTTTGGACTCATCAATAGCAGTGCTAGGAGGGGCAGGAGAGAGGGCCAATGAAATGGTTTTGGTTGGGGTGTGGGGCATCCTGGATAGCTTTCAGGGTGAGAAGATCTTAGAACGATGTCTTCGTTAAGCTCTTTATGTTTACAGTGTAAGATTTAAGTTTTCATAGAGGAAACAAAATGGGGCCAAGGTAGGACATAGTTTTTATTTTGTATCTTTGAAGAGGTCCTTAGTATATATTAAGTGGCATCTTTCCTGCTTAACTGTGGAGGCCTATTTTAGGAAACAGAAATGTTCCTAACTTTTTTGTTTCTATCTCCAGCTGGCAAGAATGAGTCAAACATTTCCAAGCAAGATTGTTTTTTTTCCCTTCTTGTTTACTTTATCCAGACTCTAGCCAAAAAGATTCATCTCAAGGTATTACTTATTCACGATTGCTTTCCATTATAATATGCTTATATCTTATTTGAATGAAATTAACATAGCTTTTGCTTATGTAGTTTTGTTAAAAATCACAAGGTCTAAGGATAGTACATGAATGGGGGAAATTGGTTCATGGGGGATGTACTTAACTTGGCTGTAAGATGTGCAAAGGGTAGGACCTGGATTTAAATCACTGTCAGCTGGTTAGACTATTAGAAGCTTTTCTAGCACTCAACCAATTAAGACCTGAATAAGGGTAAATAGAAATAAATAAGTTTTCAATTAAAAATTGGTTGCCTTATTTTTTTTGGCAAGAGTTTGAGATATAATGCATATGCCATACAATTAACCCATTTAAAGTGCACAATTCGATGGGTCTTAGTGTATCATGAGTTGTGCCCCCATCACCACAATCAATTTTAGAACATTTTCATCACCCCCAAAAGAGACTCCCTTTTCATTAGCAGTCACTGCTTACATTTTCCCTCCCCCAGTCCCTGGAAACCACTAATCTTCGTCTGTGTAGATTTGCCTATTCTGGATATTTCATATAAATGGAATCAGAAATTAGTGTTTTGTGACTGGCTTCTTTCACTTGGAATATTTTTAAGGTTTATTTATGTTGTAGTACCAGTACTTCATTTCTTTTTATTGCCAAAAAATATACCATTATATGAATATATACCACATTTTATGTGTCCATTCAGCTTGTTTTCCTTTGGGGGCTGTTACAAATAATGCTGCCATGAACAGTAGTGTACGAGTTTGTGTCGGGGCATGTGTTTTCATTCCTCTTGAGTATATGCCTAAGGGTGGAATTGCTGGGTCATATGCTAACTCATGTTTAACTTTTTGAGGAAATGCCAGACTTTTTCCAAAGTGGCTGCCATTTTACATTCCCACGAGCGATGGGCGAGGGTTCCAGTTTCTCCACATTCTCATGGGTGTGAAGTGGTATCATTGTGGCGGTTGCCCTTTTCTAAGGACTCAAAGTTTGTAAGAAACTTGCTAGAGGATGCTCCTTGAGTGCAGAGACAATGTCTAAGGTGAATTTGTGTTTTCAATCCCTGGCGCGCAAATAGATACATGTGTTTCTGCTGCATTGTTTCCTGATAATATGGCTCGCACATTATTCTGACAATATTCTTCTAATTATTAATTACAGATGAATTACAGAAAACTGCTATGTTGCAGAACTGTAGACCTGCTAAATGAAAATAACCCACTTACTTTACAGAAGCCACAAGGGGTCGCTGCTCTTGGTATTTTTAGTGTACTTTTGGATAGGGAAGTATGCAGTCCCTTATAAATGGAATCATTGATTTTGAGTTGTATTTATGTATTTTTACATTTGCTTATAAGTTGTACATGCTTTTTGTTGCTATTTTTTATTGTTTTACTGGTGACATTGAAGTTCTCAATTTAATCATTTGATTACATCTTTGCTTCCTTTGATAACTTCATATCCAATGATTAAACTTTTTTACTGCTGTTCACATAATGAACTGTTGTGATTACTGCATATGTAAATGAGGATATGTCAGCTGTATTAAAGATGTTATTTGTCAAAAGCATTGACCAGTGCAGATATAATTTAAAATAAAATATCTCTTTTCAGGAATTATATTCTTGGAGATGTTGGGAAAAGATTCCTGGGTCTTGGAAGATAATTACTAGAAATATGCAGGGGAGGTAGTATATCTTTCTTTTTTTAATGTATTACGTATTCCTGGAACGAAAGCAGTGAATTGGAAGGGGAGGATTGTCCAAGTAAAAAATGGATTTATAAAGCCTTGAGTGAAATCTAATTTTCTGTTTTATGGTATAGAATCTCATTAATTGGTTACTTGGGGGAAAAAATAGTAACAGCTAATGCTTATTGAGTGGTTACATGTAAGACATTGTACTAAGTGTATTATACACACAGTTTTTTGTTTTTGTTTTAAACATTTATTTCTCTCAACAACCCTATGAAAGTAAATAGACTTTTTGCCTTCTAGGATTGGTATCATTCTTATTGAATACCTACCTTTTTGTCAGATTTTTAGCTAGTTTTACATTTATTTGTCATCTTGATATAATAAAATGTATTTCTAGTGACTGACATATTCTTGCTGAATTTTTCATCCTTTTAATTCTCTGGGGTTTTTTCTGCTTCAGAAAGCCTTGGGGTCTTGAAATTATTGGTGATTAAATATAAAGACAGTTCTGAACCTGATCCTTTCCCAAGAATTTTAGACCTTTTCAGCTAATTTATAAGTTGTGCGTTTTAGTTTTTAGATATGGATTGTGACCTTCTGTGTTAGTTGTTTATTGCTGTGTAACAAATTACTCAATATTTGGCAGTTTAAAACAACAAACACTTACGGAACATTGGGGAGAGGAGGTAGAAGAGAGACAGCAGCTTCCAAACTGTCTCAGTTGGCAAGCCTGTGTTCCCTGATGGCTGTTGGCTAAAGGCTTCAGTTCTTCTTCACCATGTGAACCTCTCCATGGGCTGCCTGAGTGTCTTTACCGCATGATAGCTGGCTTTCGGACACTCGTCCAAGAGAGAAAAGCCAAGATAGAAGGTTGTCTTTCAATAGTCTTGAAAGTGACAAAACACCAACAGGACCCTATCCTGTTGGTCCTGGTATGGTATAGATGGACACTATACAAAGGTGTGACTGCCAAGAGGTGTAGGATCATTGGAGACCATCTTGGAGGTTGACTGCCACACTTTAGTTAAATACTTTTTTAAAAAAACTGTTTCAGTTTATTAAATCAAGAGATTTAATATTTGACCCTCAAGTCAGATGAAGTATGAGAGCATATGATCCAAATGAGTGCTCTCTTTGCTATGGTGCATGGTTTCTTTCTCGCCTATGTATATATAAACTACTTAAGTGGTGCTACATTCATTTTGGAAAATATCTATGGAGTTTATAAGAAAGTTCAGGGCTTCCCTGGTGGCGCAGTGGTTGCGAGTCCGCCTGCCGATGCAGGGGACACGGGTTCGTGCCCCGGTCCGCGAAGATCCCACGTGCCGCAGGGCAGCTAGGCCCGTGAGCCATGGCCTCTGAGCCTGCGTGTCCGGAGCCAAAGAAGAAAAGAAAGTTCAGTTTATAGTCAGGATCTTCTGCCTTGATTAAATATTGTTTTTCTCGGACCCATTTCCCCTCTCCCAATTCCTCCTAGGTGGAGGCGGTTAGAGAAGCTGGTGACACTAGACTATAGATAGAAATTGTGTGTCCCCTTCCTCTATTATTTTGCTTGGGGTTCAGATTGACTTGGAGGAGTTGACATTTCTGTTTAGAGTTTTTCAAGGAATGTAGTCCAGTTACTTATAGGCAATTACACAAATATTTGACATAGTATGGAGTAAAGATACAAATATGCAGCAGCAGACTTAGAGCAGTTTGCCCTTTTCCCCCAAAGCTTGATTTTTATCCAATAGGGTGAGTATACTTTCTTTTCTTTCTGCTACTTTCTCCCCCACCATGGGCTCTGTCCCTCTTAATGAGCAAAACAGACCTTGTCAAGAAGTCAGAATGTTCCAAATTGGCAGAATTCTAATTAGTTCCTGAGATTTGTAATCTTTTGAGTCTTTTCCCATTATTACTGCTTAAAAGTTCTTTGTTAACAGAGACAACTTTCCCCCTTTTCCTTTAAAGCTTTAGTGCTTCTGATCATTGGAAACCTTGTCTGATAACAAAAACATTACATATAAAGCAAGGCATAACCAGTTTGGGAATGTATTAAGGTATAGTTACCCTTCCCATATCAGGCTTGATCTTGAGAAGACAACACCTCCAAGTTAGCATAAGGTAACCTGTGCAAAGTAGTAAATGATATGCTTGAAATTATCTTTGTTATGGGTTTTTTCCAATCATAGTAAAATTGGAGGTCTTATCTGTTCCATGTGAGAGAATTTAAAACTATAGAAATGTGCATTTATTACGTATTTTTTAAAAGGAGCTAAGCAATAAAAACTTTAAGGCTAGAGCTTAAGTTGAAAATAAGAAGAAAGTATAAATGTCCAATGATTAAACTTTTCCACTGCTGTTCACATCATGATTTGTTGTGATTAATGTATGTGGATGAGGACATAATGAAAAAAAATCATGAGGCTTATAGATAAAATGTGGTTTTTGTACATTGACTTGCCTATAAATGTTTTTCATTTTAGGAATAAAATTGAAGGGTGTTTTTCTTAGAGAACACCATTTGTCCGATTTATCAGGAATTCGAAGATTTATATAAGGTAAGAGGTTTATAAACTTTTCAGTTTTGACAAAAGAAGACAAAAAATCAAATCTGAGCAAAAAATTGGATATTGTATTCATTATATATCGAGCATAATGTGGATATCATATTCAATTACAATTTTTCCTTATTTTTTCAGCTTTCAAAGATAACAAATACTATTTCAAAAATAATATAATTTTCCAAATCAATAGATTTGATACAGCATAGGCAGTTGGGTGGGTGGGGGGTAGGACTTTTAACCTTGACAGTCATCTTTTCTTAAAAATAATACAATTCTTTCAGGCCCTGAATTAGAGATCATATGCTCTGGGATTTAAATTTGCTGAATTATTGGATATTCTGTACATAATTGTTTGGTGTGCCAGTGGATGACCATCCTATAACTTTAGCTTTCTTCAAGAATAGCAGATAGGCCAGTGGTCAGAAGCTAAGAATCTCAAATCTAATACCAGATTAATCTGTCATTAATCAGGCGTGTAATCTTGGGGTGTTTTTCAAATTGGAGGAATATAAAGCGGGAAAATTTTTGTGAATACTCAATGTTGATTTAAGTTAATTTTCTATTTCTTAAAGTTGATATAAACTTTGTTTATTGCCCTTAATGAAAAGATTTACAAAATAAATGCATTCGAAAACAAAATTTAAACATTAACGGGGTGGATGCTACTGTTTTGCAGAAGTAAACACAGTACTGGCTGCTATCCAGTAAATTTTGTGCCTTGTGCCTTGTGATGATTGTAAAGTTTTACAATCTGGACAGCAGTATGGTTGTCCAGAACTTTACTCTTTTGCAGACCTAAAGATTATTGAAATGAGGGAAGGGGGCCTAAATTCACAAAAGGATGTCTTTGGACTGTCTGCAAATCCTTATTTGAAGAATTCTATATTATATTACTTCCAAACATTCTTCTAGCTCCAATGAGTAATTCAGAGTCTTGGAATTAACATTCTTTTGAGAAAAACTGAAGTTTTTATTTGATCTAGGATTTGGCTTGGCTAGTAGTTAACTAAATTGGGTTAAAAGTTGACTGTTTTGTTAACTACCAATAGTTTTTCTTTTTAGATACAGGTAGTCCTTACTTTGCACCATTTCACCATGCGTGAATATCAGTTTTCACGATGTAGTTAAACAACACCTGTCCCACAACAACACAGCTGAACTTTTAGTTGTCACAGTATTAACTGAATTATTGCATAAACTTTGCTACTGGCTCTTTATTGCAAAATCATTATGCAAAGAAAAGATGTGCATCATGAACAGTAACAGTTACATCACTTCTTTCAAAGTCTTGGTGATTGGTCACTGAACATCTATTAGTTACACACAGATAGTAAAGCATATAGTTGTGTTGCCTCCTTGTCTCCTAGGGATAAACCCATGTGAGATTTTGCAAAAATAGAAAATCAGAAGAGGGAATTAGTCAACAAATATGACAGAATAGCAAAGAAATGAAAAGTGATAATACTGGAAGTGAAATTAGATGTGGTTAGATTTGAAAATGGCCACAGCAAAGCAAAGATAGGATGAGACCTAGGCCTACATAAAGCTACAGTACAAGCCACATTTTAAAAGTCTGATGAATACAAAAACAATGTAAAGTTGCTTCAACATCTTTTCGTTTAAATTGTACTAGGAACAGAAAGCCGCTGATGGTTGAAATGGAGCATTTACTTCTTTGGATTGAGGACTGTAATCAAAAACAAATCCCAGTCAGTTTGGCATTGAAGTTAGTTGCTGCATTGAAGGAAAATGGTAATTACAAGGACATGTATTTACTGCCAGTGAAGGCTGGTTTCATTGTTTCAGAAGTCAACATGAATTGATTAATGTTAAGCTACCTGGTGAAGCTACAAGCTCAGATAAGGATGCTACTGTGAAATTTGCACTCAAGATTCCAAGAATTACAGGCAGTCCTTGCTTTGCACAGTAGTGAGAGGCTGTACTATGCAAAAAACTGCAGGATTTGGATGGGATGTAAATGGAGTTAGAAGATAAATATGATCCTGGGAATGTTGACACTGGTGCCATTCAAGAAATAGTTCTAGATATGCAGGAGGCAGAACGTAGTGAAGGCAAATATAAAGTTTTACGTGAGTAAAGCAGTTGTAAAGGATGAACGTGTCTCAGAAGTCATGCTGTTGAAAAACTTCACATTGAAGGAACTTTCAGAGATGTTTCATGACATTGACGGCACAAAGTATAAAATTTTGGAAGCTGATTCAAACTTAGAAAGGAGTATGACAGTTTGCCAAGGCAGAGATAAGATGCACACTCCATGTTATAAGTCATATAATGTGAAGAAAGCAAGCACTTTTCAAACTACTTGATACATTTTTTATAAAGAAATAAAACATTGTAATTTTCAGTGTTTCTAGTGGTTTGTTTTGGGGTTTTGTTTGTTTGGGGGGGTTGTTCGGTTTTGGGGTTTTGGGGTTTTTTTTGTTTTTTGGCTGCGCTGCATGGCTTGTTGGACCTCAGTTCCCCTACCAGGGATTCAATCCAAGTTCCAGCAGTGAAAGCACCAAGTCCTAACCACTGGACCGCCAGGGAATTCCCAAAGTTTCTAGTGTTTTAAATATTAATTTTACTATGTTACATTTATAACCAACACCAAGAGGGTTTTTAATGTTTTGGCAAATTTTAAGGTTACAGAATAATCATAGATTGTTAATCCCATAGAGTAAGACTTTGCAGAGTTTCAGCTTGCATAGTCAAAGCCAGAACCGCCTGCATTTAAAACAAGCTAAGGAGTCTTTGTATTCAACCAGATATAAATACATCAAGTTGAGAAACCACTATATTTTAGCCTTATAACCATATATATTATAATTGACATTTTTCACATTGTCTTTGTATGCTACTACATCAAGTCTTTGAAATAAAAATTTATAATACTAAATGTCTCATTTGGACTTTGAGCATTAATCCATTTGTAGGTAAAATCCTGTCTAATAGAATAGGGGTTGGCAAACTTTACTGTAAAGGGCCATATAGTAAATATTTTAGGCTTTGCGGGCCATATAGTCTCTAGCAAATACTCGTTTGCCCTTGTAGCACCAAAAACAGCCATAGACAATAACAAACCATTTAGCATGGCTCTGTTCTAATAAAACTTTGTGGATACAAAAATTTGAATTTCATGTAATTTTCTCATGAAACATTTTTCTTTTGCCATTCTTAGCTCACAAGGGTCTACAAAAAGGGGGTTCCGGGGTGGAGAGGTTTGCAGTTTGATTTATGCAATAGGGACATGTAATTGAACTGTACGATTGTATACCAAAGAATGTAACCACTGCTTGCGTCATTGAGTTTTGAGAAAGTTGTTCTTATGAATACTTTTCCATACCATTGCACACTTACAGGTAGTAGGGTGGGGGATCTTTGGGGAATGGGGCAGTAGGAAATTCAACGTTTCTTTTCACTTGACTCAAATGATGGTCCCACTTTTAAGTCAGGGATTTTTACTGACACCTTTTTAGGTAAACTAGTCCTTGCAGCGGTAAGTAAAAATGGAAGGCTTTTTAGAATTCTAGAAATTAGCAACTCTATCCTAAGACTCTTGAGGTCTACTTCAGCCCTACATAAATAAATTTGCTTTTTAAACGGAACCAGAAGTATAAAATGCTAAAAGGGTGTTGGAAGGAGTACAGTGAGTACAAATGTGCCTACTGTCTTAAATAAGTTTGCTATATTTTGCTTTGTGTGTGCAAAAGAGATACTACTTCCAGTGAAGGTGTTTAGAAAAGACCCTTGACTGGTGTAATGGGAAGAGAACTATACAGGTTCTGTACTTTAGCAAGTGATTTTCCTCTGGCTTTATTTGTTCGCTGTGAAATAATTCCTCCGTAAACTAGAAACAACATCCAGGCAACGCACTAATTAGATGCCAGGCTCTGGTGAAACTAGTATAGTTAGTGACTGAAGGCAAATGCTAACAGATCTCAAATAGTACCGCAGGATACTAACTGGAATACCTTATTTACCCCAGTATGCCTCTTTAGAGTAACAAATCAAGTACGTCCACAACAGCCTTTGGGTATAAACAGATCCGTTTGGTTTTAAAGAAGTCTCAGTAAGCAATGCCGTAGAACCAAGTAAGCAATTTTAAGAGCCCAGTCACAGTTACAGTTGTTGCAATAAGGCCCTTGCAGCCCGATTTTCGGTGGCTGGTCGCGTTGGCAGTGTCGCGGGGCCTGCTGACGTTTCACAGGACCAGTGCTACGTGGCGTTCCTGCGGGCCGGGGCCCTTCTTCCGCTAGGCAGCTATGCCCAGCAGGATTTTTCTTTTTCGCGTCGTCCTGGCCGCCACCGCACGCCACCTCCGAGAACCGATCCTTAACCTCACGGGGGCGCGCGCGGCGCGGGAGCGAGCCCCCTCCACCATCGCTCCCGGAAGTGCCGTGGCCGGCCGCGCGCCGGGGCGGGCGGGGCAAGGCGTCGCTCCCGGAAGCGTCGGACAGCCGGCTGGGCGGGGTTGCGGCTGCCACGTTGGAGCGGAACGTGGAGGTGGCCCTGGGCAGGAGGAGGGGCGGCAGCGAATGCTGGGAGAGTCCGACAAGCGCGGCGCTACTGTAGCAACTGGTCGCCGGGGGTCCCCGCCAGGTGTGTCCGCCTGTCCCCTTCTTTCCTCTTTGAGGGCCCTGGCCCTTCAGGGAGAGCCTGGGCCAACGCTGGTATCCCGGCCTCGGTCTCCGCTGGTCGCCGCCAGCCTGCGGCCCGGCCTCTGGTGGAGGCGCGCCCGGGTCTTCGTTTCGGGCCCGGCGGGTCAACGCCTGGCGTCACGGCTGCTTTGGAGATCGCCCGGTCCGCATCCGCCGACGTTTCCACTGCTGAGCAGAGCCGCCCCTGAGACTTGCGACGGGGTGTCCTGCCGGCGCCCGTAGCTGGCGTCTGAGGTTAGGAGACCTTCAGATCCTTGTGCACAAAGAGGTGCGGTCCCCAAGGGCGAGGGAAGGAAACAAACCTCAGGATTACTTTGGTTGACTTTAGTTTAGCTGGGATTTTTTGTTGCTGTTTGAACTGTTGCCAGATTTAAATGTTCGTAGGTTTTAACTATAGGCTGTTGTCATTTAACCAGGACTGGATTATTTTAAGGGCAGTAGTCGCCGGTCGCAGCCTATACCTCGAAGGAAGTATCATTGAGTGTCGTATGTTTTTGCTAATAAGTTACTATTATACGAGGTTAAATTACGGGGTTAATACTGCCTGGGCTTACGAGCATTATAAACTTTTCCGTGAGCGCAAGGAACTAATTTTACCTAGGTCATTCTGAAGTTGCATTGATGGTGACAAATCCTTCCTCCTAAACTGTCTTTCTAACCACAGAAAACTGAAATTTGATTGTCTTTCTGGGCAACTGTAACTCTATTTAATCAGTAATTATGAGCCTCGTCCTTGTTTCATGCTGCCTTAAGTTTTCAGTACATAACGATTGTTCTAGAGTTGGCTAAAGTTTACTTACCTTTTCTTAGTGGTTCTTCTGTGCTCCTGGTTTCTCATTGTCCCTTAATTACAGCTCTGGGAAAGTTTCGTAGACTCTAAGAACTTTTGGATAAGTTGAACTGTTTTTGTTGTTGTGAATTTCTGTTACACACATCTAAGTTTACTTAGGAAATGTGAGATTTTGAGTGGATTTACAATTATATTCCTTAATTGTATATAAGTAAGTTCTTTTCTGAAACTAATAGCATAAGAACGGAAAGAAATTTTTGTAGACTGTAAAGAGCAATGATTCTCAACCTTTTGGGATTCCACTGTTTTAAGGATCTGATGAAACCATTGGATCATCTTCCTAAAAAAATGCACATATACACACGGATAGGATTTTCTGTATATTTTCGTGAGGTTTACAAATCCCAAATTAAAGATTCTTGTAAGTTGATATTATTAAATTGATTTTTCAATTGTCTTTAGAAGTGTTGTCATTCTTAAATAAGTTAATTTCAGCTCAGAAAGTTTTATTAAGACTGCAGATAAGTGTGACTCCATTTAGTTCACCAATGCACAGTTGCTTCTTTGATTTGGTTTTTGTTGAGTGAGATGAGCCTAGAACATCAATAACATTAAACAAATTCTCTAGAACAAATGTGCCCACCCATAATGAGGTATTTTGCCCACACAAGATGGATTTTTACTAAAGACAGTGGCAGCTAGGGATTATATTCCTGGTTTAGGAGTCAGAGTTTCCAGTTCTGTTACCTCTTGCACTCTTTACTTTCTGGTTTAGGTCAGCTCTATATGTAGCTTTGTAAGGTTGGTATTTTTTTAGAGAATAGTACTGTTGGGTTTTAGTGTTGCTTCACAAAATTAGTGTTTAGAAAATGCAGAAAGAAAAGTTTTCACTTAACTGCACACAATTGCTGTGGAGACAAACTTGGATGAATAAATAAAAGTTTTCTGGATCATATATTTTCTTCAGTAGATGTATTCTTTTGAAGATTCACTGGGGTAAACATTTTAAATTGTGACTTTTGTATTAGCTGCCATTTACAATCATTGATTGACCAGGTGCCAGGGACTGTTCTCTGTGAATTCTCACAACAAACCTATGGTGTACTTTTATTACAGTTATTTTACCAAATGGTTAGCCATGACACACATAGATAAAGTTACATGCTTAAAGTCAGAGCTAGGACATGGTGAAGCTGTGATTTAAACCAAGGATGTCGGCTCTAGTCTCCATACTTTTAACTGCTGTGCTATAGATGTTGTCTTATAGGGGGTATATGTAAACAAACCATTGTCCTCACAATTTTCTTTTAATATTTTCACAACTATGTTCTGTGTAAAATAGTCTTGAATGAAACAAATCTACATAGCATGAATTCTAATCACATACAATATTGAAAAAAATTACACAAAGTTTTTAAAGCAAGTCTCACTTGGGAAATACACGTTTTAATCTAAGACTTCTTTCTTCATATTTTCAAGAAAACTAGTTACAACTAAATGGTCATTTTTAAGAGGAAATACACATGTATCTAGATGAAGCTGTATTTCCATAGTATTCTTAATAGTTTTGAGAATGACATGTAGTTTATGGTATTCTTGTCTAATTAGATTCAGACCGCTTAATGTAGTTCTAGGCTATTTGTAGTAGAGTGATTTGATGTTTTTTTAAACAATGGTATTTAAGCCTTATGTTCATTACAGGTTCATAAGTGGAACTGCTTCTGGTGGAACATTGAGTACTAAGGCCAAGAAATAGACTTTATAAATGCTTTGAATTCCTACTTAACCATTTTATGTTCTTGTGAATTCGTCTCTCTCTCTCTCAGTAAATGTTACACATTAACTAAGTGTTCATGAATTCAGTAGCCCTTGTTGTATCTTTACTCCTAAAGATACTGTAATTATATTCAATTTGGTTTTTAAAAAACTTTTTATATATGTAGCTATTTTGTTTTCACTTTTAGAAATTATTCTAAAGGCACTTTAGTACTTTCCCCTATTTTTTAAATAAGTTAAGTTTTAAACAGTGAAGAATTTAAAAATTAAATATTTTACTTGAAATTGGTCTTTCTAGCTCATCAGTCTTTTTGTATTCCCATAAATACAGACATTCAAAATCAGTCAAGCAAAACTGTGTATCTCAGTCTGTGCTAAGCAATTTTGAGTCCAAAAAGGGTAAAAGCTGTAACACTTGATTGAAAAAATGACAGTATTTGTCGATTTGGTGAGACAAGATGACATATGAGACAGTTGGTAAAACAGGCAATGGGAAAGTATGTACTAATAGAATGTTAAAAAGTTTTATTAAGGTAAATAAGACACTTTATTGTAAGATGCTTGAAGCGTGGTACAGACTAATGTAAAGAGTTAAGAGACTATTTAGATCAGTGTGGATTGGACCAGTAGGGCAGATTTCATGAAGGACCTGGGATTTGAACTTATTATTAAAGACAATTGGCTGAGAAGAAAAAGAGGGCATTTCATATAAAGAAAATAGGCCTCTTTTTCACTTCTTAGAAAATTGGGATTTTTTTTTCATTTTTTTCTTCACAATAATCTTAGGAAACTAGATGTGCAGTTTCCTTGATTAATCTCATGATAGTAATAATCTTTAAAGTAGTTAGCATATTAAAACACATTTTAGGGCTTCCCCGGTGGCGCAGTGGTTGAGAGTCCGCCTGCTGATGCAGGGCACACGGGTTCATGCCCCGGTCCGGGAAGATCCCACATGCCGCCGAGCGGCTGGGCCTGTGAGCCATGGCTGCTGAGCCTGCGCGTCCGGAGCCTGTGCTCCGCAACGGGAGAGGCCACAACAGTGAGAGGCCCGCGTACCGCAAAAAACAAACAAACAAAACAAAACACATTTTAATTTGTGTTTGGACCTCTGTAAAATACATTATCTCATTTCAACCTCACAGTATCCCCTAAGGTAATCACTCTTAACCCCATCTTACAAAGGTAGGTAGGAATTGGGGCTCAGAGAGGTCAAGTGATGTGTCGACGGTGTCAAAAGTAACAGACCCAGTATTCAAGTTGAGGATTAACTCCAGAGGCCCTGCCCCTAAGCTGTGTAATTCAACCTTCTATCCACTTTTGCCTAAAGTAGGCTGTTTCTAAAATACATGTCTTCTTCCCTTAATTTCATCATGCATTGTAGTTTCTTTGCCATTCATTATTTCTCCTAAATGTTAATATTTCTTCTATGATTAAAATTGAATACTTGAGCTTGTTGTAATAACAAGTAAGAGCTTGGACTCTGGAGCTAAACTTCTGAGTTCAAATCTTGGCTCTGCCCCTTGCTAGTGTTTTCAAATTATTTAATCTTTCTGTGCCTTCATTTTATTATCTGTAAAATGTTCATCAAGTATAAACAATTTGGACATGTAAGACTCAGGGCATGTTTTTAGTCTAAGGCCCTCTTAAGGAAACTGTTAGAGGATGAACTTCATCCTCCAGAGATGAGTAAGAAAACTGGCAAGAGTACTGTTGGAGAACATTGAGTATATTTAACTACAATAGACCTGAGGCTAAAACAAAAGTAGGAATAAGGAAGAAAGAATAAAATGTACATGTTAAATATCTGATGATGTAGGAATTGGTCGTAAAAGTAAAAAATTAAGAGAACTGGGAAGTAAGAAGAAAATTGAATGTAGAATAAGTTTGTGGATTGCCTAATCTATAATGGCTAGGAGTCAAAGAACATCATTTAAAGCTGACAAATCAGTTAGTAGAAGTATAAGCATATTTAGCAGTACAAAGGTAAACACTGAGAAAGATAATACTGTGATTATAACTGTGTGATGCAAGAGAGGCAGTAAGATTATATAAGCTAATTTTGTTAGTGCTCATAGTAGTTAACTGTGTAAAGAAATAGAGGATTAATAGTACTAAGTGAAATTATTTAAAATTATAGTAACAAAGATGGAACCAGAAACATATACTAGAACAAAAATACAAATCACTCTAATTATCAAAAAAATTAAAAATACACACACAAAAATAGATAACAGTGAAAGACATTTTTTAACATTATAAAGCCAAACATAGCAGACTATGATAGAAATGAGAGTAACCATTTCTGTCATATCAGTAAATTTTAAATACATTTATTAGCTAATCTATTAAAAAATTTTCAAATTGGATCACTAAGCAAAACCTGATTTTTTTTCACTGTATTCAAGATAGCCAGGGAAAACAAAATGGTTCAGAAGTTGAAAAGGCCAAAGAGCACACATAAAGGCAAATAAAAAGAAAGCTAGGCTGTTGATCTCAATATGAGACAAAGTGAAATTCAGGCCCAAAGGCATTATTTAAGTTGAAAAATATCCTGTAAAGCTAAAATATGTATTTGACAGTGAACATTTAGCATTGTGAATATCTGTCTACCTATGTATTCAATATGTAAATATGTAACTATGTACTGAATAACAAAGTAACTTTCATAAAGCAAGTTTTAGGAGATACCAGGAGAAATAGGCACAAATGCACTAGTAGCAGGATACTTTTAATTTGCTGTTCTTGATCCAGGACAGATCAAGTGGGGAAAAAAATAATAATAAGGATATAGAAGACTTAAACAATTAAGTCAGTAGGGTAGACTTGATTAACATATATTGAACTCTGAAAACAGAGCACCCCTTCTTTTTAGGTCTTCTGGAACATTCACAAAAACTTGCATAGGCCCCAAAGAAAACTTACATAAATTTCATAAAGAAGAAATAGTACAGAAAAATCACAATGCAGTAAAAATAAAGGCCCCTCCACTTGGATATTAAATTCAAACTGTTGCATCAATGGAGAATACAAATGGAAATTGTAAAATGGGTGATCATAATGATGAAAACACTAGTAATGTATAGGATCCAGTTAAAGCAGTGTGCAGAGAAAATTCAAAGCCTAAAGAAATAATAAAAATGGGTAAGTGAAGCATTTAACTAAAAAGTTAGAAAAAGAACAAAGTAAACCAAAAGAAGGTACAAGGAAGGAATTAATAAAAATAAATGCAGAAATTAATGAATTCAAAAACAAGAAAAGTAGAATAAGTAAATCCAAAATTTGGCTGTTTGTAAATACTCAGTAAGCAAATCAGTAGCTAAGTTAATTTTTAAAAGGAGGGTAGGAGAAAACAAAACACAAATATTCTTAATAAATAAGGACTAATCACCATACACAGCACAAATTAAAAGAATTATGGGGAACTTCTCTGGTGGTCCAGTGGTTAAGACTCTGAGCTCCCAATGCAGGGGGCCCGGGTTTCATCCCTGGTCAGGGAACTAGATCCCACATGCCACAACTAAAAAAAGATTCTGCGTGCCGCAACTACAGATCCCCCATGCTGCAACAAAGATCCCACATGCTGCAACTAAGACCTGGCACAGCCAAATAAATAAATAAATATTAAAAAATAATAACATTGAATAAAAGAATCATGAGTCTATGTTTGAGTCTAAACAAATAGAAGATTGTAAAAAAAATAAAATAAAGGAATATCATAGGAAAATGTAATTTTCAAAAAATGACCTTGAATAAAGAGAATTCAGGACTTCCCTGGTGGCGTAGTGTTTAAGAATCCGCCTGCCAATGCAGGGGACACGGGTTTGAGCCCTGGTCCGGGAAGATCCCACATGCCACAGAGCAGCTAAGCCTGTGTGCCACAACTACTGAGCCTGCATGCCACAGCTACTGAAGCCCGCATGCCTAGAGCCCGTTCTCTGCAACAAGAGAAGCCACCGCACCTTGTGAGAAGCTTGCGCACCACAACGAAGAGTACCCCCCACTCGCCACAACTAGAGAAAGCCTGCACACAGCAACGAAGACCCAATGCAGCCTAATTAATTAATTAATTTTTTAAAATTTCAAATAGATCAATATCCATAGAAGAAATAGAGAAAATTACCAAAGGAGTACTTTCCCCCAAAAAGCACCAGACCCAGATGTTTCACAGGAGAATTCTGTTAAATCTTTAAAGACCCAGTAATTCCAATGCTGTTTTTGAAAGTGTTCCAGAACATAGAAAAACTCCCACATTTGTTATGAAGCAAGTATAACATTGATACCAAAACCTGACAAAGACTGTACAAAAGGAGAAAACTATCGATTGAATCTCACTTAAGGCTCTAGGAGTGAAACTTTTAAACAAACAAAATCTAGCAGCACAGTAGTAGAACAATACATCATGGTCAAGAGAAGTTTATTCAGCATATGAAAAGATGGTTCAATATTAGGAAATCTGTTAGTGTAATTTGTTTTATTGGTAGACCTAGGGAGAAAAATCATATGATCATCTCCAATTACCTAATGAAAAAGCATTTGACAAAATTCAACACCCAGTCTTTATGAATAGCATTCAGTAAAACAGTAATCATTGGCCATTTCCATATATATATTTGTATATATATGTATATTGTACAGATATAAACGTGTGTATATATGTATATATACACACAAAAATATATGTATGTATATCTCAAATTCCAAAACCATGCTCAATGGTGATACAATAGGCTTTCTCACTGAAGAACAAAACAAGACAAAAATATCGCTGTTATCACTACTCTTGAATATGGTACTATTAGTACTGGCTAGCTCACACAAGAGAAAGATATCAGAGGAATGACAATTTGAAATGAGGAAATAACTGTCACTGTTGGCACATGGTATGAGTGTATATGTGGAAAACCCAACAGAATCTACTGAAGCACTACTTCAAGAAGAGAATTCAATAAGATAGCAGAATTAAAAATGAATGTAAAGAAATCATTAGCCTTCATATAACGATAAGAACATAGACATTATAATGGAAGGGAAAAAAGCCACATTTACAAACAAACAAAAGAAAATACTTAGGAGTAAGCAAACCCAATATATCAAAAAAATTTCAAACGATACTGAAAGATAAAAAAGAAGGCTTAAATCAAAAGACACCAAGTTCTTGATAGGAAGATTCAGCATTGTGTCAGTTCTCCATAAATTAATTTACTAATTTGGGTACAGGTTCAATAAAAAACACTAACGTTCTTTTTTTCTTCTGGAATTAGACAAAAACTATTCTGAAGTTTAGTTTAAAAAAAAAAAGTAGGGTTTCCCTGGTGGCGCAGTGGTTGAGAGTCCGTCTGCCGATGCAGGGGACACGGGTTCGTGCCCCGGTCCGGGAAGATCCCATATGCCGCGGAGCAGCTGGGCCTGTGAGCCATGGCCGCTGAGCCTGTGTGTCCGGAGCCTGTGCTCCGCAACGGGAGAGGCCACGACAGTGAGAGGCCTGTGTACCGCAAAAAAAAAAAAAAAAAGAAGCCATAAATGAATTTGCTAGAAGAAAACTATTGATGAATGTCTTCATAACTGTAGCATGCAGAAAGCCTTTTCTAACTAATCAAAATTCAGAAACCAGTTTTTTTAAAGTGAGAAATTTGACTGTAAAAAAATAAAAATCATGGTACACTGATACAATGGAATATTTTTTCAGTGCTAAAAAGAAATGAGCTATCAAGTCACAAAAAGACGTTGAGGAGCCTTAAATGCCTATTGCTGAGTGAAATAAACCAATCTGAAAAGGCTACATGTTGTATGATTGTAACTAAATGATGTTCGGGGAAAAGGCAAAACTATGGAGACAGTAAAAAAGATCAGTGGTTACCAGGGAGGGAGGGAAGAGGAGGGACAGAGGAAGAGAGGGATGAATAGGTGGAGCACAAGAGAGTTTTTAGGGCAGGGAAGCTTCTGAATGATACTAAAACGGTGGATTATACATTTGTCAAAACCCATAGAATGTACAACACAAAGAGTGAATCCTAGTGGAAGCGATAGACATTGGTTGATAATGATGTGTCAGTGTTGATTCATTGATTGTAACAAATATACCACTGCGCTGTACAAGATGTTGATGAGTGGGGAGGCTGCGTTTGGGAGGCAAGAGGGCAAGGGAGGGAGGTATGTGGGAACTCTCTATACTTCTCACTCAAATTTTCTGTGAACCTGAAACTGCTGTAATAAATAAAATCTATTTTTAAAAAATGGAAATTTTGTGAAAGGTAAAAAAAATAAGCAAAATCAAAGATAAAGTCTGATAGCCTAATAGAAAAATGGGCAAATGATATAGACAAGAATAGACAGAAAAGGTGACAGAGAAGGAAATATGGATGACCCATAACCATATAAAAAAAGATGTTCAACGTTATTTATAGTATGAGAAATGCAAATTACAACTATCCAGAGCTAACATTTTTCACCTATTGTGCTGGTTACCCTGGAAGGTCTGTAGGGCAGCAGCTCCTTATGGATTACTCTTGGGAGTATGAAAAGGTACAGTTGCCATGGCGGGCAACTTGGGAGTATCCATCAAAATTAAAATTACTTTTATCCTTTAATGCATCAGTTTTACCTCTGGAAATCTACAGCTTTCCTTGCCCATGAATGAAATAACACGTATATATGGCCATTCATTTCAGCATTGTTTGTAAAAATAGCAAAAGATTAGAAACAGCTCAGGTGTTCATCAGTAGCAGACTAAGTAATTAAATTATGGTACATCTTACAGTGGAATAGTATGCCATGTGAATGCATTTATGTAAAATAACAAATTTTTTTTTAATGCTATAGCACAGTACCTCCTGAATTCTTCTACCAGAGTAACTTTAACAGAGAATATATAAAATAATGGCATGTGGGTTTGTAACTTGGAGTGACCATTCAAAAAAAATTTTGTGCTTTATCTTTATCAAATCTGAGGGTTTGCTTTATTCTCCTCTGTGTTAGCCTGTTTTAATTTAAATTAATTTTTCAAACTGCTCTTATTGTTGAGTAATCCTGCTCCAGGAAGATGCACTTTGTTTATTATGTGCCGTCTCTTACCCCTGATATACTGCCACCCATATTGTCTTGTCTGAGAAACATATTGTGTACCAAGATTAATTAACCAAATACTGTCCCTGTTTTTGCAGGTTTCTTTCCAGACTGATTTTTCAACTGAAGAGCTATAATCTGTAAACAGTTAGAATAGCCCTATATTTGTCTCAAAATAATTTAACAAGTTTCTCTTCTTTCTAATATTGAACATTTCCCAACAAATGATACGTAGACCAATTTGACTTACTGGCATTCCAGCACTACTAATGATGTATTGGTTTGTCTAGTATATTTCTATGTAAAAAAAAGTTTCTTTGTTCCATATTACATGTTTATTATATTTCTGTGTGAAATATTCTCTTTAGCAGGATGAAGTTAAAGGAAATAGATCGTACAGCCATGCAGGCATGGAGCCCTGCCCAGAATCATCCCATTTACCTAGCTACAGGTAAGCTCAACAGAGAGAAGATAGTATGAGTCACCTAATTCCTTCTCTTCCGCATCTGACTTATTTACACTTGTCCTTTAAAATTCAGTTCAAGCTTCATCTCCTAGAAAGTCTCTCCTTCCCTGGCGAGATAATGTCCAACCTTCGGATCAGCTGAGTTCTGTGCTTGTACATCATAGCATTAATCATGGTCTGTTACATTTAGAGTGTCTTCCCCACTTCATAGAATTGTGCTTTATCTTTATTCCTCCAGTATTAAGCACAATAGATAACATGTAAAAAAGTTAATAAAATATCAGTTTGAATGAATGAAGAACAGTTTTGATGCTAGCATTTTTATATAAAAAGAGTTGGAGTTATATCATTTGTAACTATAAGCATGGGGCTGTTTATACAGAGAGGTTTTAAAATATCTGTAGGCTTAAAAAATTATCTTCACTACCCACTCGTACAAACATCATCTCTGAGCCTTGCATCAGAATCTTATTGCTATAGTAATTTAAGCATCTGCTCAGTGGTGTATGTGCTGAGATTTCAACCACTAGTGCAGCGTTCATGAGTGAGATAATTGAAAAGTGTGCATTATTTTGTATGGTTTTCTCTGAGTCTTTTATTTTTGCATGTGTAGTTACCATAAATGTATTTTCTGTAGGAACATCTGCTCAACAATTGGATGCAACATTTAGTACCAGTGCTTCTCTTGAGATATTTGAATTAGACCTTTCTGATCCGTCCTTGGATATGAAATCTTGTGCCACTTTCTCCTCTTCTCACAGGTATGAGATTCAACTTTAAATTCACATGATTATTCAGTTATATGTTGTGGTTGATGCCTAGTGTGTCTACAAATGTTCCATTATTAGAAACTGTAAGGAGTACTATCAATGACGTGAAATATTTTGTGAAAAAATATATGAGTGCATTTCTACGGAAGCAAAAGAAGTGTCTATCTGTTTTATTGAATTTTTTACTACTGACTGTTATGTGTAGGATAGGAAGGAGAGGCTCTAGTTTGTAGTATTTTTTTCTTATGATATAGTTGAGTTACTTTCTTTTATCTCCTTTATCTCACCTGTTTACAAAAAAAAGGTAGGTACGACTAGAAAAAGGAGTAGTTGGATGAATATTAAGATGTTAATAGTGATTTTCCCTGAATGGAGGTTGGTTTTTTTTTTCCCCTTGTACTTATCTATATTTAAAAATACATTTCACAGAGAATTTTATTGACATGATTTCTGATACAATAGGTGTTTAGATCACCTTTCCAAGTACTTAAGCTGTATTATAATGCAGAGAAGGACACTTTTCTTTGAGTAGTAAAATATGCTTTATTGCCTTAATAGCTTGGCAAGTTTTGGGGAAGAATTTTACCTTAGCTAACAATACAGTTCAGATGATGGAGTCTCATGGGACCTCCCATAGTCTTCCAAGCCCTCCCACTGTGATGGGAACCCCAGATACCTTTCGTCTAGCAGTTTTTCTCCTCACCACCATTTGTCTTGTATATCTCCACGCTGCCACCTTGCCAAACCATAATCTTTTATTCTCCACCAATGGGGTACTTGTCATAGTAGACATAATTTTGATGTCACTTTTCTACTCTCAGAATACATTATTTTTCTTAGAAAATTTCAGATGACTCCCTTAACTCCTTTACGGTTTAACAGGTAATTTGTTAGTGAGTACTTCTGTAGTCAAGTAAAATCAGGGAGGTGGTTGATTAGCTCTATTTTATAAATGAACCAAAGTAACTGGCTTAGGGTCTCACAGATTCTAAATGGTAAAACCATTCTTAAGCTCATATCTTTTGACACACAAATCAAGTGTACTTTGTCATATTAGCTCTACAAAAGAGTTTTTATACTCTTTAAGATTACAAAATGAAACATGTATGTATGAGTATAAATAAAAACTAAAATGCCATTTCACCAAGTTATGCAGTTACCAGAAATAGAGGAGAAGCAGTGTTTTTGAAGTATTTATGAAAACAATTAAATGTATAATTTCAGATTCTTTTCTACATTTATTTGACTTCAAAAAAGAGTTATTTTGCTCATTTTCTCTTAAAGGTACCACAAGTTGATTTGGGGGCCTCATAAGATGGATTCCAAAGGAGATGTCTCTGGAGTTCTGATTGCAGGTGGTGAAAATGGAAATATTATTCTTTATGATCCTTCTAAAATTATAGCTGGTGATAAGGAAGTTGTGATTGCCCAGAATGACAAACATACTGGCCCAGTGAGAGCCTTGGATGTGAACATTTTCCAGGTTAGACTTTTGACATTTATTCTTAATTCTTGAGATAATGTGCTGCTTATTTTATATAAGTATATGAATCTGCTGTGCCTCAGTCTTGGAATTGAAAACTAAAACTGTGCCTGTGCAGATTGATGAGTGAGTGTATTTGTTTGAAGAATGGAGGGTTCAAGGGCTTCCCTGGTAGTGCAGCAGTTGAACATCCACCTGCCAATGCAGGGGTCATGGGTTCGATCCCTGGTCCGGGAAGATCCCACGTGCCGCGGAGCAGCTCAGCCCGTGCGCCACAACTACTGAGCCCATGTGCCTAGATCCCGTGCTCTGCAACAAAGAGAAGCAACTGCAGTGAGCAGCCCGCGCACCACAACAAAGAGTAGCCCCCACTCGCTGCAACTAGAGAAAGCCAGCATGCAACAATGAAGACCCAACACGGCCAAAAATAAATAAATTTTAAAAATAAATAAATAAAGATCTTGAATTATTAGGATACTTGAGTATAACCAGAAAATGAATATTATCTTTTTTTTTATTATTTTTTTTTATTTTTTATTTTTTTGCGGTACGTGGGCCCCTCACTGTTGTGGCCTCTCCCGTTGCGGAGCACAGGCTCCAGACGCGCAGGCTCAGCGGCCATGGCTCACGGGCCCAGCCGCTCCGCGGCATGTGGGATCTTCCCAGACCGGGGCACGAACCCGTGTCCCCTGCATCGGCAGGCAGACTCTCAACCACTGCGCCACCAGGGAAGCCTGAATATTAAGAAAGTTTAAAATAGTTATTTTTCTTGTATTATAGATACTTTGCGTATAGAAATATAGAAACCCTAACTTCTTCATTTCTGTGTCTACTCTTTAGATTAGATAGCTAATTCCTTTGTTAATTGGATTAAACAGCTGCTGATTTTTGGTTAGTGTCTTGTATCATAGGTGGCTACTACCAGAATTCCTCTGTTTTCATAGTTATATGTCAGTTGTTTATAGAAGTATTAATGAGAGTGAACAGTAAAGGATGAAGGTCAGTATATGAACCTCATTATCTTCCTGTACTTCATATCACAATTTTAGGGTCTTTTTGACCCTAAAATTGTGCCACCAGGAACTAGATTGAACATAAACGAAATGTAACAAGATTAAGCATAAATGAAATGTAAATACGTGAGGACAAACATAGAAAACAAATTTATGGTTACCAAAGGAGAAAGGGCTAGGGGAGGGCTAAATTAGGAGTTTGGGATTAGCAGATACAAACTACTATATATAAAATAGATAAACAATAAGGTCCTACTGTATAGCACAGGGAACTATATTCAATATCCTGTAATAAACCATAATGGAAAAGAATATGATTATATAACTGAATCACTTTGCTGTACACCAGAAACTAAAACAACTATATTTTTTTAATTGAAGTAAATCAACTATACTTCAATAAAAGAAATTTTTTAATACGTAAATATGTGAGGATTTAAGACAAGAGATTTTACTAGCCCTATCTTGGTCCAGCTCCAGAGGCTGGCTTTGAGGTATCCTGAGATAGATGCCATTATTTTAGGATTTGGCTATTTGTCTGAAGCAATAATTGGTGACTTATTTTTGTCTCCCACAACAGGGCCCCTTCCAGAGATGCAAACCACAAGCAGTAATGCCCATATAGTTGCATAATTAAGAATTTATCCATGCAATTACTTTTTAATGTCTTATATTAAAATGTCAGTAGATGTATTGTCTTTTTAGTTTAATAGAATTTTATAATGTTTCTTTAAAAAACTATATACATTTCAGATTGTTATGCATAGTTTTTAGGAATTCATGCATTTTGCTTTTTTAATTAGAAAAATTATGTGCCTTAAAACAGACAGGTCTTTCCAGCCCTGAATTGGATTATTCTGAGTTCTCTTAATTATTTGTAAGTGCTATTTAGTTGTTAATTGTTTCTTATTACAGACTAATCTGGTGGCCTCTGGTGCTAATGAATCTGAAATCTACATTTGGGATTTAAACAATTTTGCAACTCCAATGACACCAGGAGCCAAAACGCAGGTATTACATTGATTTCAATGTAATCAAAAGAACCAAAATCAGTTTTTCTACACTTTGTTTTTTTCATACAGAATATATTTGTTTAAAATCAGTTTTTAAATGTCACTGATTTTCCTCAAACATAGTAAAGTATTAATAAATATGTTTCTTTAGAGTATCAGTGAATCCTTCAACAGTAAATATTTATTTAGCACTTACCATCTGCCAGACACTGTTTGATATACTAGACTTATGGTAGTAAATAAAATAGACAAGTCTTTAACAATTTTCTTAGGTATAATATTTTATATAGTATAGTATTTTATATAATATGGTATCTTAACAATATCCAACCTTATAATAAAAATCATAGACTAGAGAGGAAACTTATTTTTAAAAAAAACACTCAACCTGTTTCTTATGTAATTCTAATAAGTTGAGAAAGAACAGTCCTCCCCCTGCCTCCTTGAGTTTCTTTATGTTGTATAGACCAGTAGTCCCCAACCTTTTTGGCACCAGGGACTGGTTTCACAGAAGACAGTCTTTCCACGGACTGGGGTGGGGGTGGTGGTTTTGGGATGATTCAAGTGCCTCATATTTATTGTGCATTTTATTTCTATTATTATTACGTTGTAATATATAATGAAATAATTACACAACTCACCATAATGCTGACAGGAGGTGGAGCTCAGGCGGTAATGTGAGCAATGGGGAGCAGCTGTAGATACAGATCAGCTGAAGCTTCGCTCATTCACCGGCCGCTCACCTCCTGCTGTGTGGCCTGGTTCCTAGCAGGCCGTGGACTAGTACCGGTCCGGGGGTTGGGGACCCCTGGTATGGACTACTCAATTTGAGTGGCCATTATAATGGGCCGTAACATTTTGGCAATCAGAAAGGTAGCATAATAATAGTGTGTGGCCTACCATTTATTAAAGATAGTTTTCTAGGTCTAGGTTGTAACTTTTGCTCTGCTTAGATGTCTGTCATATTGACCAGCATCTACTTTGTGGTCTGTTGTCTACCTTGGAGCAGTTGCAAAGTAAAGAAACAGCGCTTGGTTTGTAACAGGAGCTTAATAAATGCCTGGTGATAAACAAGGTAAAATACTTGAATTGGCATATACCTGAGCTTTAAACTCTATTGCATGATGTTGAGAACTTAAAAATATAAAAATAAATTTTGGGAATGAATAGATCCGATTTTTAAGTAATCCAGTGTTTAAAAAGAATTAGATTTTGTAGTTAAATTTGATTATTATTGAGAAATGGCTTTTAGTAGTTTATTCCTTATAGCCCCCAGAAGATATCAGCTGCATTGCATGGAACAGACAAGTTCAGCATATTTTGGCATCAGCCAATCCCAGTGGCCGGGCCACTGTGTGGGATCTTAGAAAAAACGAACCCATCATCAAAGTCAGTGATCATAGTAACAGGGTAAGTTTGTGATTGATTTGTGACAAACATGTTTTATTCCTGCTGTAGCTATTCCTATATAGTTTGTCAGAGTAGGCAACAAATCAAATTTCTATAAAGTCTAATCCTGTCTTTTTATGGACCAATCATGTTGGAATGAGAGGTTTCTTCCTTTGGGGAAAATAATAAAATTCCTACTAAACCACACTGGATATATTAATGATGAAGAAAAAGATTGGTTAATCAAGGGGGTTATTCCATGATATACTGGTTGTTTTGCTTTGCTAGCTGTTCCAAAGCATTATAGCAACTTTTTAATTCATCTTTAGCTTTCTCAAGAATGTAAAAATTTTCCCTGCTAGTAATTTTATGACTGTGAAGCTGTAGTTTCCAGACTCCCGGCTTCATCTTTTCTGATTAGGTACTGCTAAAGTGAGCTGATGTTCTCCCACTTAACACAGTATATGCTGTTGTATAACACATTACATTTTCAGCTTTATAGATTCATTAATATTATGTCATCATGTGCTATAAAGTAATTTAGACACAGTTTAGGCCTTGTTTTGTTAATTTGTTTTTAATTACATTGTTTAGTTGGACATTTAAAAAAAAACGAGTTTGCCTAAATCAGAGAATACATATATAACTTAAAAACAACAATAATAACAACAAAAAACATTATTTACAAGAATGTTTCTTCAGGGTATTATTTTTCAGTGAGTCAAAAATTTTAAAACAAGTTTCAGTGGAATAAAGTATACAATAAACATTTCAGTCATCTTTTGGAATACTTAATAGGATCTGAACTTCCAGGTAGTTCTCAATAATAATGTTAATTTATCCCATGTGAAAATTGAAATAGTAGTTGTTGCTTTAGACACTTTATCTTGATTTTTATGGTGAAATAGAGGAAAGTTATGAATTTTTTTGTCATTTAAATCTTATCTATTTTAATTTTTCTGAAAGTTTTAAATTTTAAATTTATATAAAACTTTTCCCCTAGTTACAATTTTGACAGGAGAACTCATTTTTGGTATAGAATTATTCTGGCGCAGAATGATTTTATGTATCAAAGGGTTGGCTGAATTGAAAACCTTTAAAATTTTTATGTTTAATACTACTGTTTAAGAGTGTTTAATAGAATTTAATAGTTGTATGGGGTTTTTTAATAAACTGAAATTTTAAATAAATAAAAATAGATTAAAATAATGATTAAATAAATAAGAATTCTTTTTTTTAATAAGCCTGAGCTGATGTTTGGTACTGTTTGCTTTAACAATGGCATATTCCTCATGTTCATTTTGGCTTTTCATAAAATAGTATGACTAAAAATAAATAAATAAATAAAATAAAATAGTATGACTGATAAAAATGTGAGCCTTAACTATGTACAGATGCATTGCTCTGGGTTGGCGTGGCATCCTGATGTTGCTACTCAGATGGTCCTTGCCTCTGAGGATGACAGGTTACCAGTGATCCAGATGTGGGATCTTCGCTTTGCCTCCTCTCCACTCCGTGTCCTGGAAAACCATGCCAGGTATCTTGCTGCTCTTCCAAAAACACTTAATTTGTGTATTTTAAAAAATGTATTTACTTGCTACTTTGAATTATCAGGTAATTTTTTTTATTTACTTATATAGTTAGTTAGTTATTTTTGGTTGGGTCTTCTTTGCTGTGCACGGGCTTTCTCTCTAGTTGTGGTGAGCAAGGGCTACTCTTCATTGCAGTGCACAGGCTTCTCATTGCGGTGGCTTCTCTTGTTGTGGAGCACAGGCTCTAGGTGCGCGGGCTTCAGTAGTTGTGGCACACAGGCTCAGTAGTTGTGGCTCGCGGGCTCTAGAGTGCAGACTCAGTAGTTGTGACGCACGGGCTTAGTTGTTCCGTGGCATGTGGGATCTTCCCGGACCAGGGCTTGAACCCGTGTCCCCTGCATTGGCAGGTGGATTCTTAACTACTGCACCACCAGGGAAGTCCCAGATAATTTTTTTAAATTAGGGAATCTACTTTGTCTCTGTCTTGTAAAAGTCAATGTAAATGGTTTATTTTTATTTTAAGCAATAGTCATCTGATATTCTATACCAAAAAATGATAATCAAATCATAACACAAAAACATGAAAATGTGTTAATGGATTTTCCACTACTTATTTCAAATAACAGTTAATAGATCAAAATTCTAGTATATCACAACATTTTGGGACAACTCATGACCTTATACAGTTTGATCTTTATTTGGTTCATCATACTTATCAAGAGTCTTCCATAACATTAAATGTCAAGCAACAATTGAAAAGTTTGTTTTATTTCTGAGTGTTTATCTTTTTTTTTTTTAACATCTTTATTGGAGTATAATTGCTTTACAATGGTGTGTTAGTTTCTGCTTTATAACAAAGTGAATCAGTTATACATATACATATGTTCCCATATCTCTTCCCTGAGTGTTTATCTTAATTTAAAAAGCAAACATTTTTGAGAAATTAGGTGGTTCATTCTGCCTTTAATTTTAATAAATGTGTGGATGCTCTAAAAAAGGTATGAGCATTGTCTTGTGTTAGTTTTAGTAACATTAAATTTAGTTTGTGGGAACTCGCTGCTGGTTCAGTGGTTAGGGGTCTGTGCTTTCACTGCAGGGGACACGGGTTCCATCCCTGGTTGGGGAACTAAGATCCTGCAATCCTCGCAGCGTGGCCAAAAAAAAAAAAAAAATTTAGTTTGTAATTACGCACATTTCCTATCATTAATATTCAGGTACCCAGGGAGTTCATGCACATTTGTTCAATGTTTTTAAACGAGAAACAAATCCCTTTTAATGTTATAGTACTTTCTAAGTACTTTGGGCTTTTTTCTTCTTTCCTGTTTGGGGATATGTAAACTAAAACTTTAAATCCCTTCCCGCCTTCCCTCCCCCCGCCCCATAGTGGAATTACACACTTTGAGAAGTCTTAAGGTTTGTGACCTCTCCTTGAGCTTCTTTATATAGGAGAAAAGAGTCTGGTCAGAATGTAATCCTGTTTAGATATTATGCTTCAATAAGCTCTTTGTAAAGAAAGGATGATTCTGAGGCGTTTTAATATTTTTCTCACATTGGGTAAGGTTTTATTTACTCATTCAACACTTGCTTATTGAACATGTACTCTGTACCAAGCACTGTGCTAGGATTCAGTAATATAACAGACAAAAATCCCTGCCCTTTTATTACAGAGTATTGAGCAGAGTTCCCTGCGCTATACAGTAGGTCCTTGTTGGGAATCTGTTTTAAATATAGCAGTGTGTATATGTTAATCCCAAACTTTCAAATGTTAGCTTGATTTAGGCTCATAACAAACCTATGGTGTAAATACTATTATCCCATTTTACACATTGGAAATTGAAGCTTGGCAAGGCTAATAAGCTTGGCTTAGGTCTCAAAACTAGTCAAGTGCTGACTTCCAACCCATACATACTGATCCTAGTATCTATGGTCTTAACATTACATTCTGCTGCCAATTTTAGGAGTGGTCATAATTTAGCAAGATAGAATACCATACTGGGTGCCAGGAGCAAATCAACCTCACTAGTTCTCAATTTTCTCCCTCTCGTAAATGCAAGAGTTGGAGTATATTATGATAATATGATCTTTAAGGTCCCTTCCAGTTCTACAATTCAGTGATTTTAATACTTAGTAAGAACCTAAATGTTCCTTAACATGTGATATTAAATATGATATTGATTTCTTTAAAAAGGCATTCTTGACATACCTTGAAATTTTTGACATGCATGATTAGATTCTAAAGAGCGGAGACAATAAAAGTTCATTATTGCTACAATTGGGGAAAGTTGAATATGGACTCTAAAGTATTGCATATAAATGATAAATATTTTCAGTATGTAATTGTATTGTGATTATATAGGAGAATGTTCTTATCCCCAGAGATAAGTGTAGAAGTGACATCTCATAATAGCTGCATTTAATTCTCAAATGGTCAATATATATATGTAGAGAGAGAGAAAGAGAAAGACATAAAGTAAATGTAGCCAAATCAGTGAATCTAGGTGAGGAGTATAAGGGTGTATATCACACTATCCTTATAATTTTTACAAAGATTTTAATGCTTAAAAAATAAAATATTGAAGAAAAATAATAAAATAAAATAAAATGTTGGAAACAAAAGGCATTCTTAAATAATTTGGGTCCTTTTCCTATAGCGTATTTTCCTGATTCTGAGAGGACTTAGACTGTAAGAAATATCATCAAATTAAAAACAACTTTTGGGGAAAATAAAAATAATATATTCTTTGATGATAAAGTTTATCTGTATTTTGGAAATTGAAAAACTGTATCTTAGAATTACTGTAATGTTTTCAGGAAAATTTAAGGTTATTAATTTGTATATTTATTATATGTTTTTGTTTTAAGAAATACACAAACGTAATTCTAGTTTCTAGTGTTTTTCTAGTCCCTGTTATCTACTAGCTGTATTTCTACTATTTTCTAGTATCCAGTATTTAAATCGTAGTTTCTAGTATTTTTCTTCATGGTCTGGTAATGTTAACTTTCCTTCTTTCATCTCTAAACAGCAGAGGCATGAATGTAGAAAAAACAAACTATTATATAGCACTTTTTTCTGGATGGTGGGATAGAGGGTTTTTTTTATTTTTACAGGGGATGCTAATCTTCAAAATATCTACCAAAAATACTACTCTGTTTATACTTAGTATAAAAAATCCAAAGGATATTAAAACACAAAAAGAATTATAAAATCAAATCTTTAGTATTTAGATCTGTAATATTTCTTTGTGAGGCAAATTTAAAATGTTTCCTTTTAGTTAAAAAAAAACTCATGTAATAGGAGAACTACTCCAGTAATGAAAAGTAGAAAGTTAGTATAAACAAAGAGTAGGAAACATGAAATAGATTTCCTACCCATCCATAGGTAAAACTTTTATTGTACATATCCTTATATATACATAACCCCATTTATGCAAGTATTTAATGTAATTATATGTTTTATACAAATGTATGTACAGAGTTAACCTTTTTTCATTGGTGAACAGTGTATAATAATAAGAAACAGATTTCTACAGCATAATTTTTTTAACATCTTTATTGGAGTATAATTGCTTTACAATGGTGTGTTAGGTTCTGCTTTATAACAAAGTGAATCAGTTATACATATACATATGTTCCCATAGCTCTTCCCTCTTGCATCTCCCTCCCTCCCACCCTCCCTATCCCACCCCTCTAGGTGGTCACAAACCACCGAGCTGATGTCCCTGTGCTATGCAGCTGCTTCCCACTAGCTATCTATTTTACGTTTGGTAGTGTATATATGTCCATGCCACTCTCTCACTTTGTCACAGCTTACCCTTCCCCCTCTCCATATCCTCAAATCCATTCTCTAGTAGGTTACAGCATAATTTTTAACTACATATTTTCTCCTTAAAAGATGATCTGCAATTTATTATTACGCTGTCCGTGTTATTGGGCATTTGTTTTCATTTTTTGCTGTCATACACTGCATACTATATTGAGTATCTTTGTAATGATCAAAGAGCATACACATTGCTAAGTTGCTTTCCAGAAAGATTATATGAAATTATACTTCTCTTAGCAGTGTGTGTCTCCAAAGCCTAGAGAAAAATAATTTGGTTTTCTCAAGATTAAAAATTTCTTCATCTCTTTGTGTTTCTTATAGGGGGATTTTGGCAATTGCTTGGAGCATGGCGGATCCTGAATTGTTGCTGAGCTGTGGAAAAGATGCTAAGATTCTCTGTTCCAACCCAAACACAGGAGAGGTATGGGGAGGAAATGTTTCTCAAACTTACAGCTATTATAATATTTTATCTCTGGTTGAATAAGAAAATTTCCATATGAATTCTTTAGTACATGATTAAAATTAAGAATGTGAAAGTAGACGGAGGTGTATGTGAAATGTAACTCTAGCAGAGATTTTATTATGAGCATTATCTAAGCTCAGCTGTTTCATCTGGGGATATCAATCATTGAAATAGTGTCTTTGAACCTAGTAATCACCCGCCATTTCCAATCAAAGGTGTTTAACTAGACTCAGAAATACTTGGTTTGATTTATTTACTGTGTTTTCTGGAAATAAGTGTCCTCAAAGTAGGAGTGTTCAAGGTTTGGGTCTTTTTCTTGCTTTACCTTTCCTGAAGATCCTCTTTGATTTTTGGAAATCAGTGGATGCAGGTTTTTAATCTCTCTTCTGAACTGTACAGCAAGAATATAATACTTTATAATAAATATTTGTCATATGTTCTACCCATGGAAACTTAGATGGGGAATTTTACCTTATTAAATATAAATATTATATAAATATAATTTCATTTGCTTTGGGTTGTGGGCTAAAAACCTCTTTTACCTATTATTTTTCTTCTTCTTAATGGTTGAATGGTTTCCCTCTCTTTCACTAGTGGGCAAGACACCATAGATTCTAATTACAGCTTTTAAACTTTTATTGCAAGTGCCTTCCTAGTTGCCCTGATGGTATGCTAGTAAAAATAAGTATCTTTGGTGGGTGTTTTTTTTTGTTTTTAATTAATTAATTTATGTATTTATTTATTTTTGGCTGCATTGGGCCTTTGTTGCTGTACGCAGGCTTTTCTCTAGTTGTGGTGAGCGGGGCTACTCTTCGATGCGGTGTGCGGGCTTCTCATTGCTGTGGCTTCTCTTGTTGCAGAGCACGGGCTCTAGGCGCGTGGGCTCAGTAGTTGTGGCTCGCGGGCTCTAGACCGCAGGCTCAGTAGTTGTGGTGCACGGGATTAGTTGCTCCGCGCTATGTGGGATCTTCCCAGACCAGGGCTGGAACCCGTGTCTTCTGCATTGGCAGGCAGATTCTTAATCACTGCGCCACCAGGGAAGCCCTGTTCAATAGTTTTTAATCTGTAACATTAAAATTAAAGCAAGCACTTTTGTTATTTGATTTGTGGTTTAAAGTTTTCAGTTGCAGTGATGTCTGTAAGAATATAGAAACATTAATGTTAGAGGAGACGAGAAAAAATAATAATTTTTGCTTCATAAGATTTGTAGACCAAATAATGAAAGTGTTTCATTTTACACTGTGCTTTCCCAAGTGAGTTCAAAATTCATGGAAATTACTGTTCTTTTTCAACTATGTAATTCGATAAAATGATTTTTTGCATATGTTTAGTTGTGTGTGCTTGGACTTTGAAGGAATAAACTTTTAGTGCATGCTGCAACTAAAAATTGTAGTAGATTTTTATTCAAATGCAAATTAGGAATAGACAAGTGGTTCAGATATCAAGAAGCTAATAGTCTTATAAATCAGTTCAAGCATCAAAGAGGAGCAGGCTAAATGCCTTTTCACTTTATTTTCTTATAAAATAAAACATTATTTTAAATGTCAAGGAAGCCAAAGTTAAGTAAATTTGATTCATTTCTTTTTTTTATTTCACGTTTTTTTTTTTTTTGTGGTACACGGGCCTCTCACTGTTGTGGCCTGTCCCTCCCAGACCGGGGCACAAACCCGTGTCCCCTGCATTGGCAGGCGGACTCTCAACCACTGTGCCACCAGGGAAGCCCGATTCATTTCTTAAAGCCATAAAACCTGTGCTCCTAAGAGCATCAGTTACCATCACACTGAGTTAGTAACAATTATTACATTATTACATTGTAAAGTTAGCAAACAATTATTACATTATTTATTTATATCAGCCATTTTTAATAGTTTTTCTATATTCTTTTCCTTCTAAAGAAAACTGATAATGCCAAATTCTCTTTTGATTCTGCAGTAATAAGAATGATGTGTACATGTTTTCTCACTTGACAAATTCACTTCTCAGTGAATTTTTCCTTCTCAAGAATTTTTTTTGAAATTTGATCTTCAAATAATCTAAACGTGGCTCTTTGGATCTTGGCAGGCAAAGTCGGTTGGCTAGGACCCCATCGATCTTTTAGAGTTCAGCAAGTTGACCCTAATAGAGTATTCTGGTCTTTCAGGTGCATCCTCTAGTACCATTTCAGTAAAAACAGGAAAACCTCATTTTTTACGATTTACTTATTCCAAATCTGGTCAAAATTTTGATCAGCATTTCTTTTTTTTTTTTTATCATAATGTACTTTAAAGAAATTTTTACAATTGTTGTTTTTCCTGGCTGGATACTTTGTAAAAGTAAATGTTTAATAAAGTTGTATTTGTTGATCATATTAATTCAGCTGTTTTGGCTATAAAGTGGCTATACTTTTTTCTGACTTTTTTTTTTTTTGCGGTCTAGGTGTTATATGAACTTCCCACCAACACACAGTGGTGCTTTGATATTCAGTGGTGTCCCAGAAATCCTGCTGTCTTATCAGCTGCTTCCTTCGATGGGCGTATCAGTGTTTATTCTATCATGGGAGGGAGTGCAGATGGTTTAAGGCAGAAACAAGTTGACAAGGTAATAAGAAGTGTTAAGGTTTTTTATTATAACACCTGAAAAAAATCATCTTACTGTGTAATTATTTTGGAAATAACTTTACTGATCAATGATACCAATTAATTGGATAATTGTGATAAAAATTTCTTGGATATGACTTGAAAACATGTAATATAGTCTTGCATAAGTTTCAAAAATCTCACTTTATTTTATTTTTTAGCTTTCATCGTCTTTTGGGAATCTTGATCCATTTGGCACAGGACAGCCCCTTCCCCCGTTACAAATTCCTCAGCAGACTGCTCAGCATCGTATAGTGTTGCCTCTGAAGAAGCCACCCAAGTGGGTCCGAAGACCTGTTGGGGCTTCCTTTTCAGTAGGTGGATTTGCTTTTATGGTCCATAAACACAAAGGACTTAGAGTAAAGTGTTACTATAGGATCACTCAGATGGAAGAGGGCTGAGTTTGAGATATGTTTGTGAGTTTTCATCACTCAGAAAGGTTTCTCGGGAAAAGTGAAACCTACTCCCTTTTTTTCTTTTTTCTTTTAAATTGTAATAAAATATACATAACAAAATTTACAATTTTAACCATTTTAAAACTTACAGTTCAGCAGTATTGAGCACATTCACCTTGTTGTGCAACCTTTGCACCATTCTCCCTACCCCACTTTATTAAACTTGTCTTCCTTCTCTATCTCTCCTTCCTTCATTCCTTCTTTTCTTTTTGAGAGGGTCTACATTCTGATTGTTACAAGGTCCACTATGGTTGGACATCTAAAGTATAGCCTCTAACCTAGCAGCACTTACGACAGCACTAAAGCTGATATTTTGATTCTCCATCTCTCGTACTGGGTTCCAGACTCACGTGGGGAAGAAAGGAGTGTTATTTGTTGTCTTTATAATACTTCAGTATTAGTGAGTGGACATGCACTTTTCATTCCAAAGATGAATATATAGTGAACATCCTCTGTTTGTCAGGTACCGCTTTAGGCACTGGAAACATACCTGTGAACTAGATAGAGTCTCTGTCCTCAAGTAGCTTATGTTGGGGGGCGGAGAGGCTTTTCTGTACAGTTTGATTTTTCTTTTAAACCTTGTCCATACATAATTTTATAATAATAAGTGTTTTAATTACTTAGATAAGGAAGGAACTAACTAGATGGATGGTTAGGATTCAGTAAGTAAAGCGGAAAGTGATAAAAGCAAAGATTCAAAGGCAGGAGAGCAGATAGTGGAGAAGACCAGACAAGAGGGATGAGAGATTAATTAAATCCAAAAGTGACGTAATCAAAGGCCTATTATTTAGGAAGATGAGAGTATGTAGTATGGTTTGGAAGGGGGAAAGACAAGAGTAGATGTGCAGTCATACAGCAGTTCAGTGCAAAAAGAATTAGGCAGAAAAATAGCAATGTAAAAGAAAGAAATCAAGAGATTTCAGAAGAGATCAATACCTAGACCTGAGGAATGAATTTGAGAGGCCAAATGAAGAGTTCTGAGCCTGCTTAATAGGAGAATGACAGCAAACATGTACATGGGAGCCCCCCCATAGAGAAATGAAGACCCCAATGAGTGGCAAAACCTAAGTGCTTATATGCTAGGTTGAACAAAGAATGGCAGTTGTGGAACAGTAACTAAAATATGTAGAGACTGATGGAGATAATTTTTATTTAACAAGGTCTGTTTGTATAGAGTTCTCCCATCCTGGACTCCCATATCTGGTGATAAGGATGTATCTTTCCTCCTGGTGTAGGGAGAGCAGCTCTCACATGTGAGTTTCATCTCCTGCTTTCAGAAAGAAAAGAGGAGGTCAGGGTGCCTTTCTTGCTTCTGTTGTTTTTCAGTATTCTTCAGCTCAAAATAATCCTTAGGTCAAATGGCATATTTTGTAGCAGCATAATCCACCACCTTTTAAAACGTGGAGCCTAGAGTAGAAAGGGAGGCAGATACGTACAGCTAATAGTTGAATCAAAAGAGAGAGATAGGGCTTCCCTTGGTGGTGCAGTGGTTGAGAGTCTGCCTGCCGATGCAGGGGACACAGGTTCGTGCCCCGGTCCGGGAAGATCCCACATGCCGCGGAGCGGCTGGGCCTGTGAGCCATGGCCGCTGAGCCTGCGCGTCCGGAGCCTGTGCCCCGCAACGGGAGAGGCCACAGCAGCGAGAGGCCCGCGTACCACACACACAAAATATATATATATATAATATACTGAGGGCGTCTGGGATGGCAGAGGTGACATTTGCCCAGGCTTTGAAGAGGAGTAGCATTTAGTATGTGGAAGTTAGTAAAGCAAGTAGGTGAGAAATTGTGGGTCACAGCAACTGGGACCTTTTATGTAGAAGGTGGGTGGTGTGAAGAGGAATAATAATTGAAGGCTGGGGTCAGATTGTGGAGTAGGGGAGTGTATCACCAATTGTATCCAGAGCCAGAGTTCTTTTCCTTTAGCCGGTTTACAGTCAGTACGTTTGAGGGCCACATCCTTGTCGTTGGAACTGATTTTGTTTACTTGTTCTATTCTAGTTTGGAGGCAAACTGGTTACCTTTGCGAGTGTCAGAACACAGCCTCAGCAGGGAGCTGAGCAGCAGCTGCAGCAGCACCACGTGCGCATCAGTCAGGTCGTGACAGAAGAGGAATTCCTTAGCCGGTCAGCCCAACTTCAGCAGGTCGTGCAGTCACAAGGATTTGTCAGTTATTGTCAGAAGAAGATTGATGCTTCTCAGACTGAGTTTGAGAAAAATGTGTGGTCCTTTTTGAAGGTAAAGTTGGTGTTAAGCAATTTTATTTCATTATCTGCAAATTCAGCTATTTCCATCATATTCTAAATCTGTCTTCCTGTTGAAGAAACAATCGAGAGAATGTGATTTGGGGATCTCCTGATGAAATTAAACCATATGGAGAGTACATGACCTAACACTTTATGTCAAGAGTTCTTCCTTCTCTGCTGTGAAAAGCCTAATATGAAATACTTTTTTAATAAGTAAAAAATATATAATAGCTATTTTTAAGTGAGAGAGACATAACATTCAACAGACCTATTTTAAAATTAGAACATAGAGCTTAGTATAATAAAAACACAGAGTATTTAATTTTTGTAGTAGGTCTAATTAAGGAAAATGGGGAAAGAGGGAATAGGTATAGGGGAGAGAGGTTGGAGGCATTTCTCAATCCTTTTACTGAGTTGCATTTACGACAGTAGAATAATAAATAGAATTTTCCGGTTTGTCATTTTGTCTCCATGGGAATATCTATTTCTCAATTCTGTTTTCCAAAGAAAAGAAATCTTGAATGCAATCAGGTTAAATTTATTTTTATATTTTGTGAGTAAGTATTAGTTTTAAGAAAGAGTTTTAGGACATCACATGTTTCACATAATGTGAGTTTTGCACTCATGTAACCTTTGGACGTGACTTTGGTTTTACAAAAATTAGTTTAAAAGTAAGTTTTATTCAGCCTGGGTAATTAATTACTAGTAGGCTTACTATTTTAAAAAATAACTTCTTTGGAAAAACTTCTTTGGATTCTCTTATAAACAACCTTTTGGTTGATATAGTAAACTTTAGGTAATTTTAATAATTCTGCTTGGAATTTGAGCAGTTAATTAAAAATTAGGCCTTTAAATGCAATTCTTTGTTTCAAGAATATGTCTTTTTTTAAAGGTAAACTTTGAGGATGATTCTCGTGGAAAATACCTTGAACTTCTAGGATATAGAAAAGAAGACCTAGGAAAGAAGGTAAACTTTTGGAAGAGTTTAAAGGCTGTGCTTACACAAATAAAATATTTATGTAGCATAGGTGTTTTTATTTTTTAAAAAGTTCAACACAGATTGTTTCAAATCATTCAGTAAACATTTAATAAGAATTTATGCTTGGTTGCCAAAGTTTTTCATACACATTGTTAAAGGTGAAACTCCTCATTGTACCTGAATTTAGAAGCTGCTAGAACCACCTTTAATTCAAACTCGATTTAAAGAGCTGTGTCAGGGAGAATTGGGCCTTGAAAGAAAAGAAGCTGTGAACCTCAAACACTGGGAATGACATTTAGTTTTTTAAGAGGAGGTGTAGCCAGCGGCCCTGGAGGAAAGAGGGGGAAACTTAAGAGATCACCCTGCATTCACTACAGCTTAAGTGATGAAAAAGAGGATACTGTTTTGCACCCCCGCTGTTTATGCCTTCAGCCCACAATTCCCAAACTGTTTATTAAATTGGTCCAGCTCACAAGTAACTAGTAAATATTTTGGAACAAGGGTGTTTTATTCTACTAAACCTGAATAAACAAAAAGCCCAAGTGATTTGCTTAACATTTTAATGTAAAAAAAAAAGATTACTTTTTAAAAAAGGAGGTCATATTCCAGTTTTATAGTTTTCTTCTCAGAGCGGCTTAATAATTATTCCACAATGTTGACATAAACAGCAGTTAAAACACTCTGACTTTGGAAACCTTGAAGGATATATTTAGAATTCTTTGTATAATTTGTATTAACCCTTTGTCATTCTTTGAAAATGACTGAAGTCTTCTATAGCATTGCAGAGTTATCGCATATGCGGAACAGGTTGGATACTGTGCACTCTGGGCAGTCAGTGCTGAGCTCATTGAAGATTAGTCCCCTTTAATGTCAGATAGACCTGAGCTCACATCACAGCTCCGCTGCTTACTGGTCATGTATCTTTCCTCACTCCTTTAGATTTTTTATATTTAACTTTATTATTAGTCTAAACTTCTTGATGCTATAACTTGGTTTGCAAGAGATTAATATGAAAGTTTTACTGCAAACCTGTTAGCAAAAAATGAGGAAATAAAATTTGATTGTCAAAATACGTCTAGTAGCAGCTCTTTCCATAGTAAGTCTCTGAAGAAATATTTTTTTTAATTATAGTTATTTTATTTAAAACAAAGTAGAAGAAAACATGCTTGTTTTGAGGTTAGTTTTACAATTTGAATAGCAGAGTAAGATGACGTATGAGCAATAAAATAGATCCATGTAACTGAAACTAGCACCATTGAGAATCAATTCTGCAAAAATTTTATTCTTTTCTTAAACATGCTACCCCTGATCTGAATTTTGGATTTTTGCCAATGACAATGGAGTAAGAGGTGAACATTTGCTATATGCCTTGAAATAGAATTCCATTTGGTAGCTGAGTTGTTGTCTTTATTTCAGATTGCTTCGGCTTTGAACAAAGTGGATGGACCTGATGTGGTAAGAGAAGACCTTTAAAAATAGCTACCTTCTAAAATTTTGGTTTAGGTCATAAAGAAGAAAATATAATTTAGGAAATGTGTTTTATTGCTTTACATTGTAAAAACAAATGCTTATTGTAGGCATTTTAATACATGAATAATTCTCTTTAAAATAGCATAAGGTAGAGCTAGTTATAGCTAGTAGAAATTCCTATGTTTGAATTTCACAACAGAGGTAAAACGAAATCAGACTGCTCAGATACTTAACGTTAAGCTCTTTGTTGCTGAGGGACATTTGGCAGGAAAGAAGTGTTAGGTCTTAGCAGTAATGGCTCCCTGCTTTTCCTCTAATAATGTTCCTCAAATAAATTTACTTAGTGTTGCTTCTTATGATTAAACTAGCTCTGAATGTTGTTGGTTGGGTCTTTTGTCTTCCTTGTTCACTAATAACCTTTTAATGCTACATTCTTCACTTTCCTCTGTCATTGTTTTGTGTACCAAAGGCTCTTAAAGACTCTGACCAAGTAGCACAGAGTGATGGGGAGGAGAGCCCTGCTGCTGAAGAGCAGCTCTTGGGAGAGGTACTTATTTTTCTCATTTTTAAGTACATTGGGAAAATATGTGATATTTGTTCATCTCACATTGAAATATGGAAAATTTTCTTGACTACTTGTTCCAAAATAAAGCTGGAGTTTTCTTAGAGATGTTCAAGGTAGAAGTCTGTTTACTAATTTGATAGAAGTATCATCTCTAAAATTTTTAGTTCTCTGACCTAGCTTCTGGATTATATGGTTTAAAATTAACAGCTGATGTGAGATTGACTTAGTTTGGTCAGATGCATATCAAGATGTCAAATTGAAAAGATACTTTATTCAGAAATCCACATTGCATTGCATGTAAAGGTAATGTTTTTTCTTGACACATTAATATTTACAACTCACTCTCAGTGGCATAAGCTTCTGAATTAATCTTGAACTTTGAGTCCAAGTAAAGAATATTTCACTAAATAATCTGATCGTCCTGATTCACTATAAATGCATCCTGAGTTGTAGTGACAATTTTTATAACTAGGTAAAAAGAGTCCTTGAAAACAGAGTTGTATCATTAATTATTTTCCTTTTAATTTTCTGAGTTTTTTTAAGCCACTAATATATAATTCTATAATTTACTTTTCTTGCTTTCTAATTATATTTCATCTTAGAAAATTAATCAACAAGTTCTTGTTTCTCATCTCATATTTGACTTTTTCATTATTCTTTGTGATATGGGTATATTCTGATTATATAAAGTTTCTTACAACCTCTTACTAAGTTATAATTCCTCAGTAAACAGACTATTACAAGATGATTATTAAAAATCCTTAGAAGTGGATCTTGTAACATTTATTTAACTCAGGAATACAGGATATGGGTAAAATCTTGCTGAAAATTTGAACTAATTTTGGGAATACATAGAATTGTAGGATACATTAAAGAAACGTACTTTCATTTATATACAACTGGACTAACTGTATTATCAAAGAGAGGGCCATTTGTAAATACACTTGTGAATTAATAGGTAAATATATATTTAACAAAACAGCAGTCATCAATGTGTGCTTTCAGAATATTTGAAAAAATGTTGTTTAAGGTGGTAATATCTTCCCCTTGATGATGCTATTATTATGTAAAATAAAACATAGTAGCTTACACACTAAAGATAACCAGCACATAATAAGTTGTGCATTTTTTCACTTTATGTATATTTCAGAAGTCCATATATAAAAGTTTATTAGTTGCTTTTTGAAAGCAAATTTGAAAAATTGTTAAAAGATTTTTTTGATAAGTTTGTTAGTGAATATAATCAGATCAGTATCTGATTTATTCCTCAGTATGAATAACAAGTTTTACAATTTTTTTTTTTTTTTTTTTTTTTCGCGGTATGTGGGCCTCTCACTGTTGTGGCCTCTCCTGTTGCGGAGCACAGGCTCCGGACTCGTAGGCTCAGTGACCATGGCTCACGGGTCCAGCCGCTCCGCGGCATGTGGGACCTTCCCGGACTGGGGCACGAACCCGTGTCCCCTGCATCGGCAGGCAGACTCTTAACCACTGTGCCACCAGGGAAGCCCAGTTTTACAATTTTTTAATTTCAGTTTTTAAATTCTAAAATGCTTCTCTTTTGTTGGGGAGAGAATTAAGGTTATAGTTATTCTCCTGTAATAGTTAGTATTAACTAATTAAGCATTATTAACAGATGATGCTCTACTGTGCTCTACACTAAAATTATCCAATTCAAAAATGCTCCTGACTTTGAATTCTAGGCACTAACATTCAGATGTGTAGGTAACACGAGCACAGAAGATAGATATTTTATCTCATGTAAGACAGATGTGTTTTTTCTTTTAATTTCTCTATAATCTCTGACACATTTTATTTTTTGTCGTCTTTTGAATTTTTATGCATAGAAGAGAAAGCATTTAAAGTATTTGCCAGCAGTATGCCTCCGTTATATTTCTTTTCTTCTAAAGAAAGAAAATATTGAATTTATTTTTACTCAGTCTTACAAGTAGTTTCAGAAATTTGTAACAGAACTGTATATATTTTTACCAGACCAACCTGCTGTTCCAGGTGTGACTAATTTAAGAGAACACAAACTCTCTAATTGAATTTTAGTATATTTATAAATAATCTGTTTATATTGCATTTATATAAGGACGCCAGGTGGTTTTCTTTTTTTCACGACTGAGTCAGTTAAAACCGAAAGACTCTTATAACTATACCTATTAGACAGAATTTTTAGATGTGTTGAAACAAGGTTGTTTTAAGATCTAAATTAGAAAAATGTAAAAAAAGAAAAAATGATGTAAATATAGTATAATTTAAAACATCTTGTGGGACTTCCCACAAGTGGGAAGTGGCTAAGATTCTGTGCTCCCAATGCAGGGGGCCTGGGTTCAATCTCTGGTCAGGGAACTAGATCCCACATGCTGCAACTAAGAGTTCGCATGCCTCAACTAAATATCCCTAACGCAGTAATGAAGATCCTGTGAGCTGCAACTAAGACCTGGTGCAGCCAAATAAATAAATAAACATTTAAAAATAAATAAAACATTTTGTGTGTTTCAAGCTACTGTTAGTTGAGGTATCTAAGAAAACAAAAATTCTTCAGCTTCAGTATCTTCTGAGCTCCCAATATGGATATGTACACTTAAGTTTGTTTAACATTATTTCTGAGGACTTTGGATTTTATTTATGATTGTATAATGAGAGTTAATACTTAATGAAATCATAGTTCTTAGTTTAAACTTGGATCTGAGAAATTTTCTGGGATAACTTGGCATGTCATCTAGTCAGTAAGTGAATAATCATATTTAAATTTTGTTTTGCTGGTAAATTATTCCAGTTTCATCTGGCTAAATTGCTGCCCTTTTCATCTCCTTAGCGCATTAAAGAGGAAAAACAAGAATCTGAATTTCTACCATCAGCTGGAGGAACATTTAACATCTCCATCAGTGGGGGTAAGAATCTGTTGGTTTTGATTTCTAATTTCTTTTAACCATTTGAAAGCAAATAGTCCCTGAGTTTAAGTTAGAAACGTTTTGTCACAGGTGGTAGAGGGTTGAAAAGAACTCAGTTATCATTTAGTACATGTAATCACTACCTTAAAAATGATGGTATGATCTGAAACCTATGTGATAGAAACTGTAAATGATCTTTATTATTACATTTTAGGCAATCTGGAAAATATGTTATTTTACCTGATTTTACTTATATGTATCTCAGTATATTTCCATAGATATCAACAGCTTGTGTTAGAAATTAATCCACCAGTAATATTCAGAAATCAGCATTGTGTTCTCCATTGTGTGTGTATGTAAAAATTCATAGGTGTAGTGTTTTTTTCTTGTAACAAAAAACTTTAACTTGGGTGTGTTATTTCTTTATTGCAGATATTGATGGTTTAATTACGCAGGCTTTGCTGACGGGTAACTTTGAGAGTGCTGTTGACCTTTGTTTACATGATAACCGCATGGCTGATGCCATTATATTGGCCATAGCAGGTGGACAAGAACTCTTGGCTCAAACCCAGAAAAAGTACTTTGCAAAATCCCAAAGCAAAATCACCAGGGTATGTTATTTTAAAAATAAACAGCAGCATTTGTTTATAAAAGCAAAGCACTCTTATTATAGATAATTGAGATTCAGATAACAGTAAAGAACAAAAAAACCCACCCATAATTCCTTGACCCAGAAATAGTTATTGTTGATAGCTTGGCATGATTATCCCAGTTTTTGTTGTTTACATATGTAATATTTTAAATGAAATACTTTTATTGTAGAAAAGTTAGAACATAGAAAATGTTAAAGATAATAATTTTAATACCCCCTAATTCTTCCATCAGATTGGTACATATCCTTTTGTATCTCTTTCTATGTATTTGTAGAATTTTTAAAAACAATCAATTATACAGGTATATATGTGTGTGGTTTTACGTATAAATATTGTCACTTACATTGTAATCATTTTCCCGTATCATTTAAAGATTCTTACAAAATTTTTTAAATTGCTCTATAATATTCTATAGTAGGGATTTATTATTTCTCTTATTTGGGGATGTTTAGGTAGTTTCTAATATTTTCCTAATGTAGTTGAGATAGCAGTAAACATCCTTGTTGTGCCTAAAGATTTGTGTGAATTTCTAATTGTTTAATGAGGCTGTAGTCCTAGGAATGGAATTTCTGGCGCAGAGGGTCTGTACATTTTTAAGCCCCTGCTTGATGATATTAAATTTCTTTCCATGAAAGTTGTCCCAGTGTTCAGTCCCAGCAGCTTTGGTTGCTGTCAGTGTCCCCAGCCTTGTCTTGTGTCACTCCCTCCCCTGTTATCTTTTAGCCACACTGGCTGCCTTTCAGTTCCTTACACACTCCACGTGCCTTTCTCTCCCAGGCCTTTGCCCCTAGTGTTCCATTGGTCGGCAGTGTTTTTTCCTTCTCGATGAAATTAATTCTGACTTCATATCTTAAATGTCTGTATGCTCAGAAAGCTTTTCCTGATCCATCAGACTAAAAGTCATGTCCTCCTGTTAAATGTTTTGGTAACACCCTATAGTTCTCCTTCTCAGCATTTTATAAAACATGTTAGTGTGATTTTGTTGTTGTTGAGGAAAATATCTTTTATGTCAGTTGGTTTAAGGATATACTTCGCTTTGCTGCTACTTTATTTTTCATGAAATACTGTGAGTAGTAGTTTTGAAAGATTGATTGATTAGCCAGAGTTAATTTTTATCAATATACCAAAAGCTTTTAATTCTCCTTTTGTTTTCCTTTCCTAAGCTAATTACTGCAGTAGTGATGAAGAACTGGAAAGAGATTGTCGAGTCTTGTGATCTTAAAAATTGGAGAGAGGCTTTAGCTGCAGTATTGACTTATGCTAAACCAGATGAATTTTCTGCCCTTTGTGGTAAGAAAATGAGCTTTATATTTATATTATGTATATGGCATGGTATATTGTAAATAAAATTAATGCAGATTTTATTTAGAAATTTTTGTAAACCTACTAATAACAGATAAGAAAACGAAGTTCTCATTTGAATGCTTTTCTCAGTTATTATTAACTACGTTGCTTCTCCATACCTACTAGTCATTTTTTTAAATAATATTATTTAATGATATTCGTTTCAGACAGACCAAACTGAGACTCTTGCTTCTGCCACTAACTAGCTATATGACCTAGGAAAAATTAATTTCTAAGTCTTAGTCTTTTCATATGTAAAATGGCACATAATCAGCTCTCACTTAATAAATGTTAGCTTGATAAAATTAATAATTATAACATTTGAGTAGAAATTACCATTAAAGGCCATGACTGAACTGATGACTAAGGAATAGTATTCATTATATACAAGAACAGAAGCTTTAGGCTGCTAGTATAAAAATGAACAACCTTGAAAGTTTTATGAGAATGTAAAACTTACAAGATATTAACTTTCTATCATAAATAATTTAGAGTAGTCTAGCTATCATTGATGTTTATTCCAAATGTGCCATATTTTAGTCCACTGCTTACAAAAGCACCAGACATGATGAAATGCAGTTAAATGTTCATTAGGATTTTTCTGTTCAAATATTTTTCCCACTTTTAATTTTTTCTAATATAATAAATATAAACCCATTCTACAGCTAGGTATAGAATCTTGTGAAATTGTTTATTATATAAAATTTGTCACTCATTTTCCACTCATTTAACAAATAAATATTTACTGAACATTTACATGACAGTGATTTTATTTCTGCCTGCTACTCATTGGTTATGAAGTTTGATCCATACCTCTGAAAATATTATTGGGCTGCTCATGACCTCATACACAGATTGTCTTGTATATAATCTTATTTGTTTTCCTCTTGATCTATAGATCTTTTGGGAACCAGGCTTGAAAGTGAAGGTGATAGCCTCCTGCAGACTCAGGCATGTCTCTGCTATATTTGTGCAGGGAATGTAGAGAAACTAGTTGCATGTTGGACTAAAGCTCAAGATGGAAGCAATCCTTTATCCCTTCAGGTTAGTATCTTTGAAACAAAAGGTGCTTCCTTTCTAGTACTGTCTTTCACCCTATTTATATTCTAGAGATTGATTTGTTCCAGAAGTTCATTGCTTTCACCCTACTTAATTACGTTTTAGAATCTCTTTTGCTGGATAATTATGTGTATTTATTGCTATGTTTGGAGAGGCAGAGTTTGAGATGATGGGATGGTAAAATGGGAATGCAACTGTTTGTGAGAACCAAGTTGTGATATGGTAGTTACTGAGGGAAGTAAGTGGCAAGAGCATGAAAACAGCCATAGAGTTTACCTCTTTTCCTCCTGCTCCTTTCTCTGCCTCCAGTGATCCTGTGTGCCTTGGGCAAAGAAATGGTGTGAGGTAAGGAATGGGAGGGGTCCCCAGTACCAATGGACAGTCTTCATGGTTCGGGGAAAATGAAAGTAAGAGCTAAATGGGATCCCGTGCAGCACTAATACATGGGCAAGAGAGGAAGTGAAAAACGTGGGGACTATTCTCTGGCGCTGAGTAACTATATATTTAGGTTTTTTTATTCCTAAGCAGTTAGTCAGCAGTCTCAAGAAATTTCAGCCTAATGTTTCTTTTTGTCTCTGCAGAGAGATTTTCTCAGTATGGTTGTTGCTTTAAAGATCACTATTGAAACCAAAAGTCTTGTAGGAATCAAGGTTTTTCCTTCTAAGTGCTTCTGAGAGAAAACACACTTGTTTTCACACTTCTGGATTGGTGTACTTATGAAGGGCAGATGGGATATTCTTGTACTTTATACCTGAAACATAGCTCTCTAGTGTTGAAAGAATAGGTATTGAAGAGCATTATGAGAAACTTCGGGTTGAAATGCTAAGCCTGTTTGGAGGCTTAGTAGTACTATTTTTATAGTATACATAGTATAATAGTATAATATTTCGTCTTATACATTCTGGAACCCAGTTTCTGCCTTCAGACATCAGCCTGTCACTTTCACTTTGGATATTTGCCTGTTTTAGCTCAGGAGACAAGTCTCTGGCAAGTTAAGGATGTTTGGGAGAAGATGGTAACCTATGCCTTAACCATGAGTAGGAGACCTTCCTCCTCGCTTTTTCAGTTACCTAAATGGTGGTCAACTCTTGCAGACCTTCTTAATATTGGTGATAATAGGTACCGTACTTTTGGTAGGCTTTGGAAATCTTAGTAACTCCTTCTCTTTTCCTGCTTCCTCTCAGTACACATCTTGGTATCATTGTCTGTTTCTCCTTCACTCTCCTTTCTTTTTCTCATTTAGGATCTGATTGAGAAAGTTGTCATCCTGCGAAAAGCTGTACAACTCACCCAAGCCATGGACACTAATACTGTAGGAGTTCTTTTGGCTGAGAAGATGAGTCAGTATGCCAATTTGTTGGCAGCCCAGGGCAGTATTGCTGCAGCCCTGGCTTTTCTTCCTGATAACACCAACCAGGTAATTAGAACTGGCCATTTTTCTTCTTTGAATGTGTGAGTAAGGTGAGTTCAATAGATAGCACTCAGTATGAAACATAAATGTACTAGTAGGTGGAATGATTTGGAGCAGTTGAATTTCTGTCACCTAATAGGTGAATATTATTGACACGTCTTCAAGGGTAATTTCACGTGTATTCAAGTATTCAAGGCAGAGAAAACTACATCACATTCCTAATTTAGTGTCCTTATTTGGTGTGCAGTAAAACTTGGGCTTTTTCATGATACTTGTTTCAATTCAATAAGTGACTGAATATGTAGTGATGAATAGGATTGCCAAGATCCTTTCCCTGAAGGAGTTTCCAAACTCAAAATGATAACAAGTATGCATGGGATTCCAAAGTGATAAGGACAATGATAGAGGTAGTGGGAGCACAGAAGAGGGAAATCTAAACCCAATAGTGCAGCATGGGTGGAAGCTGGGGTGGGGAGTGAGGAAGATTTTCCACAAGTAGGATATTTCTGCATTGTGTATCTGCTAGAGCTTAATTCGGAGGCTTTTCTTATTTCTGTACTTTTTGTTCTAAACTTTATTCTGTTTTTGACGAAATTTTTTAGTTAATTGTTTTCAGTATTTTGTCTGTTCTAGGGAATTGTCAATAAATTTCATTGAGTAAAAATACTTTTATCTGTGTTCCAGGACTGTGGAGGTATGACTCTCTAGTTGGTTTTGTATACACTTGTATGTAGGATCCAGCTCACGTCTTTCTGAATTGTTAATGAGAATATTAAGTAGAATAGAAACAAAGTCTTTATCTTTATAATGACTTTGGTATAATAGTTCTATAGGATTTTTTACTTAATAAGGTCTTATTATTATATTGAAGTATAAGACCCTTTATCTTAAGACTAACTTACTCTAAGACTTTTAGACCTTCTGGCCTGAGAATTAAACTTTATTTTTAATACTGTTTATAATCACATACATTTTCTATACATTATTCTTCATGCTTTTCTTTGGACTTTTAAAGAACAGTCTTTACGCAAAACTTGTAATTTTGATGTTACTTCCACCTATATATCTCAGTATACCCCTAGTATTTTCTGGGGAATATTTCCTGAGACTTTGTAATATCATTATAATATATAGTTCCCCTCCATAAAAGGCAGGTTTACCTAAGTATACCTACAAAATTTAAATGGTGTGTTTAAACCTTTAATGAATTTATAGAAATGTATAATTTTTCTAGATATTAAATGAATTCTTGCTGAAACATTTTAACACATTGCTTTTTTGTTGTTATTTGGTAATAACTAGAACATGTATATGGTAAACTCATACTTACTATAGATCTATGTAATTATAGATCTGTGTGAGCTACCCTGAGTTTGACATCTTAACTTTTATTTCAAGCATCTCTTTTTTTATTAATTTTCATGTCTTTCATAGATCACCATTTTCTTCCATCACCATCTTTAGCAGTTGATTCTCTTTTGGAGCCTTTTTTCCCTGCAGAGAAACAAAGTTCTATTTTTTCAGCTGCTTTTGTGATTTGTGAGCATTACTCAACTGCAAGAGAAACAGCAAAAGAGCAGTGATGATAAGTGACATTGATCTTGCATACTACCATGTGGTAGGCATAATTCAAATCCCTGCCTCAGTTAAATTACAAGTTACACTGTATATAATGGACCTTTGGTGTCAGTCTTGAGTATTAGAAACCATGATGTCAGACCCTAATGTGCCAGGGTTTATCGCATAATATACAGCATATGAACAAAAATCATATGAATGATCAAGCTTACTTTAAGAAGATCAACATGCTGTCATATATAGTTGGGTGAACTCTTCACAATTTGCTTTGCTTTCTTCCATTGCTTCTTATAGCCAAATATTGTGCAGCTTCGTGACAGACTTTGTAGAGCACAAGGAAATCCAGCACCAGGACAACAGGAGTCACCTAAAATTCCTTATGAGAGGCAGCAGCTGCCCAAGGGCAGGCCTGGACCAGTTGCTGGCCACACACAGATGCCAAGAGTTTCAGCTCAACAATATTATCCCCATGTGAGTGATATGGTCCAGATTAAGTAGGAACATTTATATATTTCAAATTGGTGGTTTTAGTTTCTTGAGTAAGAGACCAGTGATAAAACTAGACAATGTATTATTTTAATGGTTATAGTTTTTCTGATCTTGAAAATAGCACTTATGATGTTTTTAAAAATTACCCCTTTGATCTAGTCAAATAATTTACAAACTAGGTAAAATTAATTTAAGCTCTCTGGGGAGATTTCTTCTTATTTCTCCATCACTCAAACTTAAATTACACATGTACATCTGTTCTTGAAATTTTTACAATTTGATTCATCTAACAAACTGTGAGTAAAGTAGTGGGAACAATTTTGTGGGTAATTTGGTCAATTTTTTTAAACGTTTTTAGAAAATAGTCTCTTTTTAAGTATTATTTTCTGAGTCATTAGTGTGGTTTTACTATGTCTTCTGTATCAGCACAGTAAAGAGTATCCAGAATACAAACATTTTTTTGGACAACTTTATATTAGAGAAAAGTGAGTGACCAAAGGTATATGAAGTTGTAGGTCATGGGGAATGTAAAGATGATTAATTTTTATTAATTAACTAATTTATTTATTAAATTAAAATTGCCAAATGGTTAGTGGCATAAAATGTGACCTCTTATTGTCTTTTACTATTTCATGTAGAAACTTATATTTCCAGACCAGCAGATAACCTTCATGTTCTTAAATAAAAAGTATATTTTCGTAAGTAATAAATGGTCTTGACTGATAACAAAGTTAGTAGGTACTCTGCCCATTTTATTTATTTATTTATTTTTGAGATGAAACTACCTCGATGGCAGTCTCTCTTATTTATTTATTCATTTATTTTTGGCTGCGTTGGGTCTTTGCTGCTGCGTGCAGGCTCTCTCCAGCTGTGGCAAGCGGGGGCCATTCCTCGCTGTGGTGCCTGGGCTTCTCACTGTGGTGGCCTCTCCCAACGCGGAGCAGGGGCTCCAGGCACGCGGGCTCAGCAGCCGTGGCACACAGGCTCAGCCACTCTGCGGCACACGGGATCCTTCTGGACCAGGGCTTGAACCCGTGTCCCCTGCACTGGCAGGCGGGTTCCCAACCACTGCACCACCAGGGAAGTCCCTCTGCCCATTTTAAAATAGAACAAATTGCTGATAGAATTGATGGGGTCATTTTTACATTTTGTAGCAAAAGTAATCATAAAACCATGAAAAACTAAATTAAAAAAAATTCATGCTCTTTTGTCTATTATGCTTTTGATTGCTACTTAATCAGGATAGATTACATTTGAATATAATTATAACTATACTACTCTCTGTTTTATTTTTTCGTTCATTTGACAAATATGAATTTAAGGGCCTGTCTTTATTCTCCCTGTTGAGGGTATATTGGTAAGCAAAACCAAATTCCCCACTCTTGTTGCTAGACTTAGAAAGTGTATGACATGGATAGGGCAAATCAGGTGATGGCTGGGAAACTGAGAGGTGGAGAAGTCTAGCGACTAACCAGAGTTTTAAGACATAGAGCTTGAATTTGTCAGCATGGCTAGTTAATGGTTAACAGGATTGGAACTCCTAAGCTAAGCACCTTGAGTTTGACCTCACTGTGTCAGGGCACTGAAGTAAGGCATTCTCTACATTGGGAGAAGAGAATTTACTCCTTATGTCCTTGGGTTTAATCTTATCTTTCTGGGAAAACGTAAAAACCTTGAAAGGCTTTTATTATACTGTGACTTAGCAGTCTCATACTTTAAGAAAAGGAAAACAAATTCAGTCATAAATTACGCAGTGATTTTTCTTGATTAAAGCTTATGATATGTTGAATGAGGACAGTGGCTTGTGGTTTTAAAGGCATGCTTATAGGCAGGAGTAAAGGGATTTCTGAAAGGGAAGCCAACTGAGTGGGAGTTCTCCTCCTACTACACCAGCACATCTTTGCTATTAATTGTTTATATGATAGAGTTTCTTCTACAAAGATTTACTTACAAAAAATATTCTGATGGCTTAAAAACATTTTTTTGAAAACCTCTGGACTCCAGGGTAAGCAACGTGGTGTAGTGTAGCAAACACTGGCCTGGGAATCAGGAGACCTAGAATCCGTCCTAGTTCCATCATCAACAAGTTATATGGACTTCAGCCAGCCCCTTCATTTCTCTGGGCCTTGGGTTTCTCAATGGTAAAGGGTGGGGATTAGATTGGATGATCTTTAATATGCTCTGATTGTATGATTCTAAGCCTCATATGGAACTAACATAATTTTTGTGGCTCTAATGAAATCCGGAAAAGGGAGCTTATAGTAATATGTTTACGGATCTAATAGTAGCATGAATACAATTAGTGCTTCAAAAATTACTTTTTCACTCAATTACCTTTTTTTTTTTTTTCCAGAATGTCTTCTTTCCTTCCCTACTTACAGAACTTACCTTTTCCCACTTACTCTTGACACTTGAACGGCATTGTTCTTTCTGCTTTGATTTAGTTTTCATATTGATTTTTCTACTACCTCCCTTCCCCTGTTCTGTTATGAAAGGTGTTTTTTTCTTTTGGAATCCCAGCTACCTTGAAAGCAATTGCCTGGCTAATGTGTGCTATCTTGCTGTTCTTATTTTTTGCTTTGCATCTGGCTATTAATGCCTGTTGGGTTTTTTTTTTCTTCTTTTAACATTTTCATGTTTTATGTTCTGTGATTGGTATTTCTTTGTTCAATTCAGGTTAGAATTGCCCCCACTGTCACTACCTGGAGTAACAAAACTCCTACCGCCCTTCCCAGCCATCCACCTGCAGCCTCTCCCTCTGATACACAGGTATATCCTTCATTATTCCTCTTTGAGCAGAATTCTGCTCACCTAAATATATAGTTATATATTCTCTACCCACCTCCCTTAAGTTCCCCTCCCCCCATCTGTCTATCTGCTTATTGCATTTTAGTGCCTTTAGGATGCAAGAAGCAGTTTTTAGCACAATTAATTTATTTTCTTATCACTCTCCTCTTCTTTTGCAGTTCTAAATTGACTTGAACTAGAAAAACATCAAACAAGGTTCTATCAATGGTTTAAATCTGATTTCACTGAATATTTTTTCCTTTCTTCTTCTTTTTCCTCCTCTTCTTCTTCTTTTTTTTTTTAGCATCGTAGAGAAGATAATATCTCCTTGTAGCATTTATACTTAATATTTTCGAAGCATAGTCGTGGATGGACTTCAGTAGAGATGGAAAATCCTAGTGACTTACTATAAATATCATAGATCCTATTTTATGAGGCTGTTAGCATCTCTTGCCATTCATTGTTATTATTACTTTGGACCTGTCTAATCTTTAAATCACACAAAATGTGTTGCTCAGAAAATGTGTCTTGAAGAAGATAGTATGCACAAAATGCAATTTTTTTACACAAAATTTTTTTTTAATTACATTTCAAAGATTATAAATCCATCTGGTAAGATTCTTGGTTCCAAATGTAATCCTCCTTTTTACCATATTCTCATTTCCTAGGGAGAAAATCCTCCACCTCCAGGCTTCATAATGCATGGGAATGTTAATCCAAATGTTGCCACAGCTCAGCTTCCCACATCTCCCGGTCATATGCACACCCAGGTACCACCTTATCCACAGCCACAGCGTAAGTAGTGTGACCCTGAAGTCCTGTCACAGCAGCATGTCTTGTCTTATCTAGTGTAGTAACTGTTTACTTTGAAGCTCCAAAGCCATGATCAAATCAGTTTTAACAAGTAAAAAAAGAACCATTCTGTGTAGGACTTGAGTCCTTGCTATAGCAAAGCATGGTTTCCCTGCGAGGCATCCTGAATCAACATGCTAGGAAACAGCTCCTGTGTCAGTCCATTCAGAACAGTTGGCTCTTATTCCTGAGCCTGTTAAAGTGAATCAATTGTCCCATGATTTTGGTATAAAAAAATAGAATTTTAGAAATTATTTAGTACATATTCTTTTCCTTTAGGCAAGATGATGCAAACCATTTTTGGAAAATTGGTTCCAAGGGGCATTTGTTGTCATCTTCCATTTATTTAATTTTTTTAGGAAACAGACTATTTTTTAGAGCAGTTTTAGGCTCACAGCAAAGTTGAGTGGAAAGTACAGGAAGTCTCGGTATACCTCCTGCCTCCGTGCACAGCCTCCCCACCACAGACATCGTGCACCACGGTGGTCCGTTTGTTACAGTGAGCCTACACTGACTCAGCATTTTCGCTCGGAGTAGTTTATCTTAGGGTTCCCTCTTGGTGTCAGACACTCTGAATTTTGACAAATGTATAATAATGACCTTTCCCCATTGGCTTTCATTTTTTTTAAGAAACTACACTTGCAAAGTAAAACATCACCTCTATTTTAAAATTTAAAATAAGCAAAAATGCAAACCTCAGAGTGGACAGTTATATGACTGAACAACTACTATAAAACACGAGGATGTTACCTAGCAAGATCTAATCTTAACGAGCGTGTTCTGTGCTCATAAGATGGGTGTTCTTACTTAACATGAGTACAAATTTGATACAGCTTTTCACTCAGTGCTCAGCGTGAAAGTACTGTCTTCAGAGTAGGATGAGCACAGTTCTGTTAGATTCCCTCTGCAGAGGTTCATATTCTGCCCATGGTCACACAAAAGGTAATGGTATCTGGGTTCAGGTCTTTGCATTAAAACATTAGTTGGCTGTCTGATTGCTTACTAACCAACTTTGTACAGTGTAAGAAATATAATGATTGTCTTGTCAGGGATCATACAGAGTTGCTTATTAATCTGGAACTGTGCTCAAACCCAGAATTTGAGTAGCTGATGATTTTACTAGATGTTGGAGAAGGTATCTGATTCATAACAATAGTGCTCACCCTACAGTTGTTATGGTGGAGGTCTTGAGCTGCCACCAAGCTCCCTTAACTTTTACTGTAAAGGGGACTGCTTTGGATGTGTAATTCCTGCATGGCTCCATCTGATGGCTAGTAGGTGTCACTGCAGTCTTCACGGGAACAGGATGTCTCAGAAAAGGGTCAGTCTTCTGGTTCTTGGGTCTGATGACTCAAAGATTTTCATAGCCAGCAGCAGTCTGGAGATGTCAGGGTTCAAAGACTGGATCCAGTGACTTTTGGTATAGTTAGGGCATCCAGACTATCAAAAGCATAACCTGTTTTAAGTGGGTAATGTTTGGTTGTAGCTTATTATTAGAAGAATTGAAAATAGTTTCCATAGAATGAGATAACTTTGGTTTTCTGTTGCTGTCTGAATAAATTAGTAACTAATTAAAATTTCTGTTTCTTCTCCTTGGTGTAGCTTATCAACCAGCCCAGCAGTATTCCTTCGGAACAGGGGGGTCAGCAGTGTATCGACCTCAGCAACCTGTTGCTCCTTCTGCTTCAAACGCTTACCCTAACACCCCGTACATATCTTCTGCTTCTTCCTATTCTGGGCAGTCTCAACTATACACAGCACAGCACCAGGCCTCTCCACCTACCTCCAGCTCCACTGCCTCTTTCCCTCCTCCTCCTTCCTCTGGAGCATCCTTCCAGCATGGCGGACCAGGAGCTCCACCGTCATCTTCAGCTTATGCGCTGGCTCCTGGAGCAACAGGTACACTGCCTGCTGCCGGCGAGCTGCCTGCATCCCAGAGAACAGGTCTGCGCTTGAAAGGGACTTGGTTTGGCTCCGTCTTTTATTTTTTCGTGATCACGTGGGTGGATGGAGGGGAATTATTTCTAACTGTAAACTGGGCAATGTGAGGTATTGATTTAATTGTATAACAAATTCTGAATCTATTTCTAAAAGTGTGATTTTCCCATAATGAACTTTAGTTGCTAAATGAGGAAAGCTTTAGAGCTTTAAAAGGGTAAGAGCATATAATCTGCCATTGAATTTAAAATAAGCAGTAAGAAATTAGTTGGCCAGATAAGTGGGGGTTGGAACTAGATTTAATTGACACTTATTTCTTTGCCAGAGTAAAACAATGCTCTGTGTTCTTCCTGAATTTTCAGATTTTAAGAAATGAGGCTGTACAAATTTTGTAATTATGTTTGTTTGTAAAGGTGAGCAAGGATCTCGACATGTGTATTGAAAGGAAAAAAGTGAAAGAATGCAACTCTGACAGAATCTCTAAGACAGCAGAAAGTATACAGTAGTGCAGAGATTCTCTCCATTAGGACAATTCTACCCTCACAAACATTTTGGCAATTTCTAGGCATTTTTGTTGTTGTTGGCAGTATAGTTCTGCCTGAAATTTTCTAATTAAAATCATAATTTAAAATTATTTTTATAGTAAACACACATTTTATAAATTCTTTTTATCTTTCATGTTACAATTAAAGTATTCTATTAATTTTTTATAAGTAGGTAATATTATCTGATTTTCATGTTAGGATTGTAAAAGGGACCTCAGAAGTATTACAAAAAGAGATCAATGAATCGGGGCAAGAACCACTAACATAGTAAAGAATTCAGACTTTGGAATCAGACTTCCTGTGTTTGTATCACAGCTTCACTCCTTTCTAGTTATGTGACCTTGAGTAAGTTACTTAACTTTAAGCCTCAGTTTCCTCATAATAATAATAGTATGTACTGATAAGCTTATGAAGAGATTGAATGCATTAGTACATTGAGAGCATTTGGGGACAGTGACTGCAAAGTTAGCTGTGATAACACATCGCTCAAAATTAGAGCTCTGTTCCTTTTTTTTTTTTTGTCCCTGGTTTAATGTATACTTGTTACTAAGGGTATTTGAAAATAGTTTCCCTTTCAGATTATAATTGATGGTTTTAAACTAGAGGGGCAAGGAGTGAGTCTTGCTTTCTAATACTGAAGTTATTCCTGGAAGTCCCAGTATATGTTGTTCTCTTTTTATCTGCTAAGTAGTAGCTTTAATAACTGAAAACACTGAACATATAATAGGATTTATTGAGGAAGTATTTTTTTCTTGGAAGTCTTATGGATCCAGAACTATACACATATCTCCTCTCTTCTTTGATATATAATACTAAAGTCCAAAGTACCAAAAATCATACACACAATATGTATCAGCCTTTACTGCACAAATAAAATTTGTATAATTTTCAATACAGATATTTCAGTAGGTTGATATTTAGAGAAGAGTGTTAATTCAATTGTAGAGTTCAAAAAATTACCTTTTAAAACCTGGATGAGTGAAAACAGTATATATTCTGAATCGTTGGGTAGTAGCTTGAGTGAAAGATGGATTCAAGTAAATCCCCACATAAGAAAGTGGTACAGTGAAGTAGGAAAGTGAATTATCATTTATTGAACATACATTGGACATGTACCAGCACTGCCGTATATTTTTTTTTTCTCATAACCATGAGAAACAGGAATAATTATTTTTTTAAAAATTGTCATGAGGAAGCTTGAGTTTCCTAGGGTTATGTATAATGTTTTCATGATTGCACAGTGATAGCCTCCAAGTTGAGATACAACTGAGATACCCCAGTCTCTCAGTCTTCAGAGCCCATGTTCATTATTCTTTACCAGATAGTCTAGTCCTGATGAAAGGGGTAGAAATAGCTATCAGTGTTGGAATTACAGAAACATTTAGTATCACTATTTTAAGCATTTGTTACTTCATCATCTAAGTTAAATATTTGTATGGGTATTTTTTTCCTCCTTAAGCTAAAGGGCATTTGGCCATATAATAAAGTCTTTGCTTATGTACAAAGTAACAGTGTTCTAACCTGGCTGAGAAGCAGAGTAACTAATAGGAAGATGAAGCCATACATTTTTCAATACTCAGCATGCACTAAGCTAGCTGCTTTGTTACCTCTTGCATGTTAGTAGTCCCTGTATTTTAATTAACAGTTAGAGCTTTACCTTATTTTTATTTTTTGATTTCCTAAAAAGTTTGTTTAGGTTATACAGATAACTGTGACTAAAAGTTTTATCTTTGTTCTAATATGTCTTAGATTATTATATCATGGTTTTCTACGGGACTTGGAAATTCCACTTATCCGGTGGATTCTTCTTGATAGACACTAGGATTTTCAAGCCCTGTAACTATTAGTGAACCAAAAACTTATGTGCCTACTGCTCAGAGAAACTCATGTTGCAATCATCAAAACATTCATTCAGTAAATTCTTAATGAGAACCTGTTCAGTCTATAATCAGAATTATTCTAGGCACAGGTAGGAAGGCAGAAAAGTACAGTACATTTCTATTTCTAGTGAACAGCACATAGCTTTGTTGTAAGTTGGAACATAAAATTTGTATTGGGGCCAAATTTTGGAAAACATTAAATGCCAGGGCAAGAAATGTATACTTCATACAGTAAGAAGAAAATTTCTAGTGGAGGAGTTTGAACTACTGAGAGGCATGGTCAAAGTGGTACTTTAGGGAGGTTAATCCAGAGCTGGTTCTGCAAAACAGATTGTGAGCAGCATGGCAGAATCAGAGGCAAGGAAAAGAGGCTGTCTCCAAGTTCTATGTATAAAGTGCTAACAGCCTAAGTTAGTATAGTGCAACATGTTTCAGTGGTGGCAGCACAAAAAGCAGGAAGTTTTCCTAGCTCTACTGTCCAGGATAAGTAAGATACTGCTGGTATTCCCCCACCTTTTTTTTTTGTCCCTGGTTTAATGTATACTAGTTACTAAGGAAGAGCACTTTCAAATGTGAAGGCCCAAGAAGTTTACTTAGAAAAATTTTCTGATAAAATGACAAGCTCTCATGAAGCTGTTTTTGAGTAAACAGTATTGATTTCGTTAAACAATGGAAAATTTAATTTGGGTCTATATGTGTGTGTGTGTATATATATATATATATATATATATATAGTCTTGTGCTCCTTCACATAGAAGAGTCTTGAAGGGGCATAATAGTGCATATTTTCGTGAAACAGTGTGCTAAAAAAAATTTTTTTTTTAATTTTCATAAACATTCCATAGTCAAACTATAAGTACCTGGTTTTTAACCCTTTAAACAAAGGAAAGGAGCATGATAGCCTTCCTTACTTTACTTTGGATAAATCTATTTTATCTCATGTCATTGGAAAATGACCTTAAGGATTCATTCTCTCTAAATTTAAATTTTTAATTTTGTGATGCCTTTTTTAAAATGTGACGTGTGAGGCTAACAGGGAAGGGGGAGGTATATGATTAACAAGGATGCTGTATTCTCTCCGTCTCAAATTATCTTTTAGCCAAAAGTCTCCATACCATTGGCACTAATATTTTTCTGTGAATCCACTGAAAGTATCTTAGCCAGTGCCTAGATCCTACCATTATGCAAGGACACCTTGAGAAGGTTCCCAGTGAGAAGTGAGATTGAAGTAAAGATGGTAGCAGCTCCACTTCTGTATGTGAGACCAAGCGCTTCTCTCTTCCTTCCCTAAAGACCATGTGGAGGACTAATCCCTACACTAAGGTGGATAAGGGTCTCCAGAATCCAGTGACATGCCATATTCAGTTTTTAAGTTAATGTTGCCTTGATTTTTATTAATTTTTTACTGTAGGATTTTGAAAGACCTCAAATAGTATAGAGAATAAAATTAAAATTATCTGTAATTCTGCCACCCATATATAACCACTAATAATTTAGGTGTATTTATTCCCTTCATACATACATATGCACACATATATGTATGTATGCATGTATTAAAGTTCTTTTAATGTTGAATATATATAACATAAAATTTACCATTTTAATCATTTTTAAGTAACATCAAGTGCATTTACATTATTGTACAATCATCACCGCTAACTACGGAACTTTTTTGTCATCCCATACTGAAATTATGTAGCCATTAAAAACCTCCTGTTTTCCCCAGCCCCTGGTAACCACCGTTTTACTTTGTCTCTATGTATGTATTCTAGGTACCTCATATAAGTAGTCATACAGTTTTTTCTTCTTGTAACTGGCTGTTTCACTGTCTTTTAAGATTCATCCATATTATAGCATGTATCAGAATTTCATTTTTAAAGCTGAGTAATATTCCACTCTTAAGTATATACCACATTTTGTTTATCCATTAACCTGCACATGGGCATTTTGGCTGTCGTGAATAATGCTGCTGTGAACATGAGTATACAAATATCTATTCAAGTCCCTGGTTTCAGTTCTTTTGGGTATATACCCAGAAATGGAATTGCTGGATCAAATAGTAATTCAGTGTTTAATTTTTTGAAGTGGTGGCACTATTTTACATTTTCACCAGCAATGCGTAAGGGTCCAATTTCTCCACATCCACACCAACACTTGTTGTTTTCTGTTTTTTTGTTTTTGTTTTTAATTCTCGCCATTCTAATGGGTGTGAAGATAGTAGTATCTTATTGTATGCATGCATTTTTAAAGAATTGAGATCATAACTCGCACATACACTCATAATTTACATCTTACTACTTAATATTACACCATGAACCATTTTTCAGTGTTCTTTAAAGTTATTGTCATGTTTAAAAAGAGAGTAAGAAAGAGATTTATGCCCATTTTTAAGGTTTTTTGAAAAGGTAAAAAAGATTATCTTCCCTTACTAGTTTTATGAGAGAATTATGTCCAAGATTAGTCTGTGCTATGTTTTTTTAAAAATATTGACCAAGAGTATCATTTTGCACATCTGTAATGAACCCCCACAATACTGTCTCCTGTAGATATTCATGTTCTTCATTTAGTTTGCTTTACCTAGTGTTGCTATTAAAGTGTGTCTCAATAAAGTAGAGGTCAATTTAATTGTGTTTTTAAAAAGTCATATTTAAACAATTTAAAGATATAAAAGCAAAACTATTGAGGGGTTAGAATCATAGCTAAGATAAAACTGTTAAATTGATCAGAGATTTGAACAAGGATTTTTCTGGGCTGAAATAAAACATATTGCTAAATATATTGCATGGTTTGAGGTTAGGAGGGGCCAGTTAGGCATATATTTTGGTGGGAACTTTGATTATTGTACAATCGTTATTTTCAATTCAACAGGCAGCCTACCCTCAAGTTATGAGGGATAGCCAACTGGCTATATGTTCCTGTTGAAAAATTTGTTTCTTATTTCATTCAGTTTTACTCGTAACTTTCAATTTAATTTGATTTCATTATAACTTTGGTGTCATTCTACCAAAGGGTCATATGAAATTGTTCCACATACTTTTTTGTGCTGCTAATAGTTGGTGGAATCAGGATACCCCCTCAGGCTTTAATATCCAAGGCTCAGATCACTGCCATGAGAGGTTAGAGGAAAAACTGGTCTCACCTTCTGCTCCCACGTTTCACAGGGCTAGAGAGGAGGCATGTTGTTGAGACTGCTCCCTGAAAAAACTGATAAAGGCCAGGGTACCTCCAGTACTTTTAGGTTTTTCACACCGTCGACTCCCCCCTGCCCCGCCCCAATACCAAAATCCAAGGATGCTCAAGTCCTTTATATAATGTGGCGTAGTATTTGCATATAACCTATGCACATATACTTTTATGTCTAGATTGCTAATAATACCCAATACAGTGTAAATGCTGTGTAAATACTTGCAGCAAATTCAAGCTTTGCTTTTGGGAACTTTTTGGATTTTTTTCCTTCTTGAATGGTTTTTTTTTTTCCCCCCCGGTACGTGGGCTTCTCACTGTTGTGGCCTCTCCCGTTGCGGAGCACAGGCTCCAGACGTGCAGGCTCAGCGGCATGGCTCACGGGCCCAGCCGCTCCGTGGCATGTGGGATCTTCCCGGACCAGGGCACAAACCCGCATCCCCTGCATCAGCAGGCGGACTCTCAACCACTGCACCACCAGGGAAGCCCCCTGATTGTTTTTGATCCTCAGTTGGTTGCATCTGCAGATGTAGATCCTGGGGATGCACTGTATATTGTCCCCCTTAGCCCAGAAGCTGAAGTCTGGTGCTAGAGGGTACATCAGTAGTTGCAAATCAGGTCTGTCCTCTGTCATAATGCACACACAGTGACTCCCAGGGATTTATTAACTGTAGTGCTATGAGGTCATATCTTGCATGGGGAGTTAAATTGTAAAGTCATCATTTAAGACAAAAATAAGAAATCACTTAGAGTCAGTTATCCGTGATCACCCCTTTCTTCAGTTAAGCCCTCATGAAGAAGTTGCTTGTGGTTAGAAGCCATATTGTATGAACAACATCTATCCTTAGCTCCATACAGTGAAATTTCAAACTGTGGGATTAGTTCTCCCACCTCACAGTTTCTCTGGGGCATGTGCTTCTTGAGTAGAGCTCAAGCTGAATTGAACTCACTAGTTAATGCTACATTCTCTTGATTCCTCTCTCCCCAAGTGAAGATAGTTGAATTCCCCTAAGTTGTGTGTTCATATGATGTATCTACACTGCATGCTTTTGATTGGAGGCTGGACCTGGACCAACCCTGAATATCCGACAATTTTGGAATTGCTGTATTAGTTCTCAGCCTTCTTCCCTCTTGTCCACTGCCAGAGACTTCAGTTCTTTTAAGAGAAATAGTGATTTCTGGAAGATTTGTGCTAAACAGTCTGCAAATCTGTATATTCTTATAGAAAAGACCATATGGGATGGTTACATATTTACTGGGCCTGTTCCCATTTATGCTCATACTCATGGTGTGACCCCAGAAATTAGTTCCTCCAGAATGCAGATCCTTGGGGCCTCCCAAATCCAGCAATAAAGTAGCACCTCCTTGTTAAGATTGTCTAACATGCTTATTATCTTTAACAATGTAGTGTTGAAGTCTGCACGACAATGTAGAAATCCTCCCATTTCTCTTTAAAACCCTACTACTTAAAGAGGATTTGGACCAGCAGCATTGGCATTACCTGGGAGCTGGCTGAAGCAATAGAATCTCAGGCCCTACGCTATACCTAGTGAATTAGAATCTGCATTTTTACAAGATCTTCACCTGATTTGGATTCACAGCTTTAAAAAATACTAAAATGGACACAGTTATAATATGTTAGGAAGTGCTCTCAGCCCTCCCCGCACCATGATATTACTGAGCTTCATTGATCAAATAGTAGAAAAATCATCTGTGCAAACAATTAGGGAAATAATGTTGTTTTAAATAGGAAGGAACAAAATTTTCTCTTAAAAGAGACAGCTGGCACAGTGAGAGAAAAAAAGTGTTTAAGAGTTAATTGGATCTGACACATTTAAATGAATTAGCTTTGCCCACAAACTGATAACTCTCTTAATTAGATAGAAACCATTTCACGTGACTTGATTAAAAAGTAAGTTTTATTCCCTTATAAAATTAGTTCTTTCTTGGGGTTGATGGAGGGAGGAGAAACAATTATAAAATGAGTAGAGTTTACAGTTTGCTGGGCAGAAATAGAGACACAGATGTAGAGAACGAACATATGGACACCAAGTGGGGGAAAGTGGTGGGGTAGGGGTGGTGGTGGTGGGGTAGGGGTGGTGGTGGTGGTGGGGTAGGGGTGGTGGTGGTGGGATGAATTGGGAGATTGGGATTGACATATATACACTAATATGTATAAAATGGATAGCTAATAAACTGCTATATAAAAAATAAAATTCAGAAATTCAAAAAAAAAATGAGTAGAGTTTAGAATGTCTTTGATGATAATACTGTTTAAGTCACTTTTACATTTTGTCTACAGAAAATCAGTCTATGCAAGACCAGGCATCTATTTTGGAAGGTGAATTAGTTACAAAATATATCTTTGGAAATCTTTGAATCACTGACTCCAATTAATGAGTGGCTATTCACAATTATGCATGTGAACTTTAAAGCTTGATAATATTCCTAAATCTGATCAAATCTTAGAACTGATTGAATTAACATAGTGACACAAATGATCTTGAATCATAAAAGTTGTCTATGTTAACTACAGACTGAAAGACAAGGCTATACCAAGATTGTCTTAGATATAAGAAAGATTAGAAGGTGATGGGAGAGATTTGAATGATTAGTCTGTGTATAATGAGAACTTTAAGAATTTGTTAAGCAAATAGCATCATGTGGTTTAATATTTTGTGATTAGTTCTTGAGTGTTTTGAGGCTCATTTGGCGTTCTGTCTCCTAGTCACGTTGTAGAAAATTAATTCTGCATGCTGGTTAGGAGAAGATCTTGTTTTTAAAAAATTTCTATGACATTATGTTCTTTGGTTTGCTAAGCAATTTTGTTGTGATTTAATATCGTGGATATCAATAAAACAAGCAAAAGTAAAATACTGAAAGAATGTTTAATTTATTGAAAGAAGAAGTTTTTGCTTTTACATATACACGTACACAAAACTTAATAAGATGTAAAATGATTATATTTTGATTTAGTAATTATCCTATCTCTGGCATGTTTTATTCCTTTTTTCTTTAAAGATACAGGCATTTAATAAAGATGTTTAAAAAAATTTTTTTTTAAGATATAGGCATTAAGTACCTTAATGAGTTCTGCTACCTATGTTCATTTCTCACTTTGAGATGACAGGTTTTGGGAGATTTGGGGGGGGAGGAAATTTCCTAAAGGTGACAGTAGTTTAATTTTATATTTGCTGCCAGCCTGGAAATTTTTTGTGTGTGTGTGGTATTAAAAAAAAAAAATCTTACCACAGATATTTGATGCCTTTTTCTACTTTATAGGTTGTTCTTAATGCAAAGGTGATAAAACATACTGGTGTTGCGTAGTTGGGCTCTGTATTTTTAACAGTGTTTCTACCATGTGGATGATTTGGGTATGCTGAATTGCTCTCTGGGGAAATAGGAGATTGCTACTTTTTTTCTTTTTTTGTGTGTGCAATATATCAGAAGCCTTTTTTTTTTTAGCAGACTCAGGTGATTTATTTTTTCTTTATTAGGAGAGAATTGTTTGAAGCTTATATACCAATATAGACATAAAAACTTCACTATCCTTAAATTTAGTACAACTCTTTCACTTTAAAAGGAAATAATGTCAAGATATGCTGCTTTCTAAGCCAAGGCCCTGTGATTATTAGAGGTAATGAGTTTGAGAGTCCAGGGCTACATAGTGATCCCAGCAGCTCAGCTGGTAAAACTTTTGTGACAGTTATCTCAGGGTGAAAGTAAAATTTGAAGGTATTATATGATGGATACAATCTAGTTTTCTTCTTTTCAGAATTCTAAAGGAAAATGCCTTCTATTATCTGTTATAGGTTCTCAGAATGGTTGGAATGATCCTCCAGCTTTGAACAGAGTACCCAAGAAGAAGAAGGTACTAGAAAAAGATGTCTATTGAGTTGCCTACAGGTGTCCTGTCAATCATGTAGCCACCTGAAGCACACCACACTTCACTGTTCCTTTAAAGGCAAAGCTGACTGACTGATACACTTAATATGTGTATTTCAACTTACATCTTCTAATCCATGAAGGGAAGGAAAGAAAGTACAAAATAGTATGGTGATATGAATTAAACCCTTTTTAAAAAACAAGATGTAAATTCCCAGCAGATCTTTTTCAAAAAGTAGGAAACAAAATTTCATGCTTCTCAAGTGGTTTTTTTTTAGGAGTTACTTTGGTTTTGGGTTCTAACAGTAATCATGAATTTGTAATTATATTTTGGACTATTTTTGTCTATCACATATAATATGAAACGAAATAGCCTTGTAGTTGAGCATCATTTAGATGTTAGTAACTGTTGAGAGCTGTTAGAGCATAACTTAAGATTCTTCTTTTACCCCAAGCCTTTTTTTTTTTTTTTTTTACTCCTAGTGATTTCTGTCCCCCAAGTATAGTAATGAGAGGCCAGAATATAAAATTGGGAGATACTAAATGAGCAAACCCCCCCCCAAAATTAGGTCAGTGATAATCAGAAATTTAATCTACTACTTTGAGTGTGATTGATCACTAAGTAGGTATCACTTAATGATCTAGGAAAAAGGTATTACATCTGATTACATTAAACAAACACATATTTGGCATATCTGATCCCAGTATGGCTAGATATAATTCTCCAGACTTTGACATCCTCTTTCAAAAACACCATGGTTTTGGCCCATTATGAGATAAGTGTGGAAGGTAAAGGGGAAATAAAGGTCCAGGTTTGAGCTCCCAACCCTCTAAGCCAGATTAGCTTTACTTTTTATGTTTTTCTCTAAAATTCTGCATAAAATTTCATTTTAAAAAGTGTTCTCCTGTTATTTAAAAAAAAAATTTTTAACCATGGAATAGTCTAACTCCCTTATTTATTTTTTTAAATTTTTTTATTGAAGTATAGTTGATTTTCAGTGTTGTTAATTACTGCTGTACAGCAAAGTGATTCAGTTATACATGTATGTGTATATACGTTCTTTTTTAAATATGTTCTTTTCCATATGGTTTATCGTAGGATATAGAATATAGTTCTCTGTGCTGTACAGTAGGACCTTGTTATTTATCCATTCTATATATAAAAGCTTACATTTGCTAACCCCACCCTCTCATTCCAACTCTCCCCCAACCCCCTTGGCAACCACCAGTCTGTTCTCTATATCCCTGATTCTGTTTCTGTTTCATAGATAGGTTCATCTGGTCATATTTTAGATTCCACATATAAGTGATACCATATGGTATTTGTCTTTCTCTTTCTGACTTACTTCACTTAGTGTGATAATCTCTAGGTCCATCCATGTTGCTCCAAATGGCTAACTCCCTTATTTAAAGCTGAGGAAATGTTGTCATCATACCGTTTTTTTCCTTACTCTTGGTGCCTTTTATTTCTTTTAAAAGATGCCTGAGAACTTTACGCCTCCTGTTCCCATCACATCACCAATCATGAACCCCTTGGGTGACCACCAGTCACAGATGCTGCAGCAACAACCTTCAGCTCCAGTACCACTTTCAAGCCAAGCTTCATTCCCACAGCCACACCTTCCAGGTGGCCAGCCCTTCCATGGCATACAGCAACCCCTCAGTCAACCAGGCATGCCTCCGTCTTTTTCAAAGCCCAATATTGAAGGTGCCCCTGGAGCTCCTATTGGAAATACCATGCAGGTAACAGTAAATCTGTGGAAGTGGGAGATGGCTCTATTTCGGTATGTTTTCTTAATGTTTTAACTTTTATGGTTATACCTTTATTATTATCTCAATTTGATTTCAATTTAGGCAACTTAAAAATAATAACTTTTTTTTAAGATTGTTCATGTATGTGTATTATTTTTCAACGACAAGGCCATATACAAACTTTCTAGAAGGAGCTTATGTATTTACTAGTATATATTAACAGTAACTTGGCAATTACAGTATTTCATTTGATCTAATCAGTAGCCGCAATTTAAGATCAGTTGAATCCATATTTGCATCCAAGGTTGCTAAGGAGAAGCTGTTTCCAAAGGTTTTTTCCTTTAAAATATAAAATAAAAATATAATGAGTTATATATTTTCTTCTGTATGTGTAAGAGCTAATAAGATAGCCATATCTTTAGATGGAGATATAAATTTGTGGTTGCTTTTCACATACAAACAGCTAGTTGGCAAGGCTCTAGATGATGAAAAGTCTACCATATTTCCATATAACTGACTTAGACATACAAAGATAAACATTTTGATCTATTCATGAAAAGTAAAGAGGTTGGGTCACAGTTCAACATAAGATGAAATAAATTCCTGCCCAATTATAAAACTAGCTCTTCTGTCTGTTATTGTCTTTGACTCTCTAAAGTCAAATTTGTAAAGATTATATCTCTACCACAAGAGTATGTTTTGATGTTAAGAGATTTCTGCCTAAGGAACTTCTAAACATTAACAGTTGCATTATAAAAACAAGTGTTTTGGTGGAGGTGGGAGGCCCTTCTTCTTTCCACAAGAATATATAAAATTATAAAGATGCACTGTTAATTTTTATAATTACAAGTCTGTGGTGTTTGTGAAGCCATTCACTTTTGTTTAGACCTGGGTGCTCATGCTATACTCATCTGACCAGAACCTCAGTTGCCATTGAAAGGGAGAGCTTCATGGATGTGTGTGTTCAGCCAGGCCATAATATCCACCTTCCTGTCCACTTGGATGTCTCTGAGGCACCTCACACTTAACATATCCAGAATCTAATTCATAGTCTTCCTCCCAAACCTAGTCGTCTTTTGGTGTGTCCTGTTTGAATTAATGGCACCATAATCCTTCCTATTTAATCCAGCCAAAAACCTGGGCATCGTCTTTATATTCTTCTTCCTTTAACCTGTTTTTCAGAGCTATCCCCAAATCTTGCTATATTACTTCAAAATCTCTCTCAAATCCCTTCTCTACATTTCCAGTCTAGTCCATGCTACCTTCATCTCCAGTCTCAAGCAGTGCAGGAGCCTCTAGTTGGTCAGCCAGCATCTACTTTCACCCATCTCTTATCTGGTCTTATCTCCTCATTGCTTAAAACGTTACAGCTTCCCATTGTTCTCAGGATAAAGACCAAAATATTTCACATTGTCTGGATTCTCTCAGCTCATACTCCTCCTTGCTGTCTCTCTCTGCTCCAGTTACTGTGACCTCCTTTCAGTCCCTTGTATCATGATCCTTCCTGTGTACACGTTCTTCTGTCTGGAATGCATTTCCTTCCCCATTTAACTGGTTAGCTCCTACTTATCCTTCTGATATAACTTCCTTAAAGAGCCTTCCCCTCAGTTAAATCCCAATTATATTGTCTCTTGGTTCCAGTGATGTTAACTTAACCACAGTTGCTATTTTACATACATTTATGACATTTTGAAACTTTCTCTCTCTTCCATCAGCCTGTAAACTCCCTGAGGGATGAGATCATTTCCGTATTGGCTCACCAATACTTAGCCAATACCTAATACATAATTGCTTAATGTTTTCTATGAATGAACTAATCAGTCAAAACTTTAAACACTTATACATTCCTTCTTTGTTTTCCCATCTGTACATTCAGTGAGATCATGGACTCTTCTATCCTAACCTTTGGTTTAATCTTGCAGTTTGATAATAGCCCAGTTAACACCCTCCAAAAGTAAACCAAAGAATAGAAGAATGTCAGGATAAACATGTCATGAGGAACCTAGGGGTAAGACAGGAATAAAGACACAGACCTACTAGAGCACGGACTTGAGGATATGGGGAGGGGGAAGGGTAAGCTGTGACAGAGAGAGAGACATGGACGTATATACACTACCAAACGTAAGGTAGATAGCTAGTGGGAAGCAGCCGCATAGCACAGAGAGATCAGCTCGGTGCTTTGTGACCGCTCTTTGTGACCGCCTGGAGGGGTGAGATAGGGAGGGTGGGAGGGAGGGAGACGCAAGAGGGAAGAGATATGGGAACATATGTATATGTATAACTGATTCACTTTGTTATAAAGCAGAAACTAACAACAACAAAAAACTGTCACCATAAAATGCTTTTTAAAAAAAAAAAGGGCTTCCCTGGTGGTGCAGTGGTTGAGAGTCCGCTTGCTGATGCAGGGGACACTGGTTCATGTCCTGGTCCGGGAAGATCCCACATGCCACGGAGCGGCTGGGCCCGTGAGCCATGGCCGCTGAGCCTGCGTGTCCGGAGCCTGTGCTCTGCAACGGGAGAGGCCACAACAGTGAGAGGCCCGCGTACGGCCAAAAAAAAAAAAAATGAGCCAACAAGCAAAGCAAGCAGCCACTCCAACCAGCCAACTTTGTAATTGCCTTGTTCTTTTTATTTCCTACTGGCACAGGTCTCCTTCCCATCAGTTATATAAAATAGTGATCAACATATGTTCCATAATTAATCAAATACTTTATATCCAATCCTATTTTTGAAAATAGAAGCTGTAGAAGGAGTACCTGTATCTTCTACTGAATATCTGATTTTTATGTTTGCTTATCCCAAGTGATTTCACATGTTAATTTTTCATTTGATTTTGAATAGCCTATCTACAAGGTCGTTGGTTTCTCTTTATCACATATTCAGGGCTTTGTGTATAGGTAGCTTCTGGTCATTTCTAGTCATTTTATGGTATTATTTATTCCAGCATGTGCAGTCTTTGCCAACAGAAAAAATTACCAAGAAACCTATTCCAGATGAACACCTCATTCTAAAGACCACATTTGAGGATCTTATTCAGCGCTGCCTCTCTTCAGCCACAGATCCTGTATGTATTTTTTATTTTGCTTAATTAAAAGAATCCCTTATGGAGCGCTTCTATAATGATTGCTTAAAGTCTTACAAGATGTATTTTGAAAGTTTATGCAAAAATTGTAAAGCTAGCACTTACATATAGTTTGCTGTACATATAAAACACATTCAACTGCTTTTTACATATAACTTTAATCCTTAAAACAACTTCATGGTAGGTAGGTTTGTCATATTTATTTACAGAGGAGGAAATTAAGGCAAAAAGCATTTACATGATAATTAAGGCAGAGCCAGCATTCGAACCTAGTCTGGCTCCAGAATTCATGCTTTCAACCACTATGCTGCACTGAGTCTCATCGGCAAACCTTATGCGTAGCGCAAAAATACAACAGAATGGTGAAACTCAGGTTTGGGGGTTCTTTCTGAGCTTACATCAAAGCTTTAAAAAGTAGATAGACAGTCTTTAACTTTGCAAAGACCTTAAAAATAGTTAAGTGCTTTAGATATTGGAGTCATATTCATAGTCAAAGTAACTGATTTTACTCAGTTTATTAGAGGATGACTGTATTGGCAACAACAAAAATTCCACAAAGCCAGTTTTGTTTTAGGTGAAATGTCACTTTCTGCCAACAAACATTGAATATGTTTATTTAGTCACTGGCCAGTTGTCTGCTTGAAAAACAGCTTCTAGAATTTGTTGTTTCATCAAACATTGAGTAGTAATATGTGCAGCCTTCTGCTAGTCTTTTGGAAAGCAATTCCCTGTACTGAAAGTGTCAGGAAAGCAGAGGCAGGGGAAAGTTAACATAAACCTTAGCGCCTGGCATTCTGGGAGTGATGGAAGGACGAAGCTAGGAACAGAGAACAGGTGAAGCTGTTAAACAGGTAAGTGTACAGTGTCTCCTAGGCAGAGAGGTCCTCATCATACAAAATGGAGGAATCCTAATAAAAATGTGGGAAAACTCCAGTCTTCCTTCAGGCATGAGTTAATGTAAACAGAGGTTGGGAGGACACCTCGTACATGGCCTAGCTTAATAAATTTTTGTTGAGCTTCACCTCCTCTGGGTCACCATATACCTCCCTTCTGGTTACCCAGGACCCCTGGACAGAAGAGAAAGACAAACTGTTCCTGTCACTAGTTGGGGAGGCAGTTCAAATACTGCCCAGGACTCCTGCTGGTAGCTAGGTGGGATTAACTTTGAACCCTCCACAGAAGTCCATTTTAATCAATACTTGAAATCATTTTTATAGTATGACTTTATTCCTATTTCCACTTCAGTTATGTCCTAACAGCACAAAGTAATTTTGCAGCACAACTTAGTTTGTAAGGTTATCCTCGATGGCTTCACCTCTTCTGCACTCCTCTTCAGACACACTGACATGCCCTCCTCAAACATACCAAGAATGTGTCAGCGTCAGAGACTTTGTACCTGTTGCTCCTTCTGCCTGGAACTCTTCCTCACAGAACTGCAGAGCTCTTGCTCACTTGTTCCTGGTGTCTGCTCAGATGTCCCATTAGCCATCAGGACCTCCTTACCACGTCATACTGCCAACACTGCTGACCCCCTTACCCTGTTAACTTTTCTTCATGGCACTCATCACCATCTGACATACAATATATTGTTTATTTAGTATCTTTTTGCCACCCAATAGAATATGAGATCCATGAGACGCAACACTGTCCCAGCATGGTGCGTAGTAGTCCCTCAATAAATATTGAAAAGCAGTGTCACTTTTAAGGCTGTTGCATAATGTAGATATTAAGTTAATCACAGTATAATTTTAAACATTTACATTTAGGATAGTTTTCTCTCACTACACTTACAGTACTAGGATGAGGGTAGGAGGACTCCTTAATTTAAGAACTCATTTTAACACTTCCCTCTTAATAATCTTAAGTCACCAAAAGATAATTTTCTCCTTTTTTTGGTGTTTTAAAGGCCCAGAATAAGACAGGATTAAATGTACCAAATGTGACTGAGTGTATAAGTAGTACTTTTGAGATTCCACAGTTCAACTGTATGTTTGCCTTCTAGCTCCCATAATGTTCATTTTATTTAATTTATAGTAACTGTTAGACCTTCTTTTCTGTAGTACACTGACCCATTGCTGCCTCGAGATGGCCCTTCCTGTTGCTTGTGGATATAGTGTAGATGGACACTCACACACCTCAAGTGAGTTGCAGTCCCCATGGAATCCAGCCAGTGCTCCATTTTGCACACTAGGAGGGAGGGTCTCAGTTTCTTGCCCTCCCTGCCTTAATAGATTACTAATCTCTGTTCTAATAATCTGTTCAAGTTCCTCGGTCTTAGCTATCTCCATTTCTTTATAAAATGAAGCTGTCCAACATCATGACTGTAAGGTTTAGTGAAATGAGATAAGGCAAGTTCTTGGGATAAAAGTTATTGTTCGTACATAACATACCTGTTTTTTCTCTCCTGCAGCAAACCAAGAGGAAGCTAGATGATGCCAGCAAACGTTTGGAGTTTCTATATGATAAACTTAGGGAACAGACAGTAAGTTTGTGGGGAAAAGAAGGATTTATGATAATCATTTATTCCTGGTTGCTAGTAAAATAAGTGTCTCATCAGCACTTGCATGTAATACAGTACGCGTGGGGACAAAATGGTCGTGACAGTTCATAGAATGGGCTTTTCTCTGTCTAAATCTTACATTTCAGTCACCGGGGATAAGGGGATAGGGCAGTGTGTGGGTGTGTGTGTGTGTGAGAGAGAGAGAGAGAGAGAGAGAGAGAGAGATTAAGAGGGAGAGAGAATTTTTAGCCTTTTTTTATAACAAAGGGCAGATATACAAACTGGCCTGTACTGGTCCTGTGGTAACTGGCCTTCTATTCATTTTTATATGTCCCTTGAATTAAGAAATCAGAGAGTGGGCAGCTACTCTGTTTTCCAGAGACCAAATCTGTAATCTCTCTCACAGTCTAAGACTCTGAACCTTTTCTTTTAGAATAGCTATTACACAAAGGCAAAGCCAAAGGTAACCACAAATTGAGCAGATCAATGTGTATGACTATGAAGATGGTCGGCAGTAAGGAGTAAATGCCCTGTGTGTTCTGTTCTCTTGTCCCTCCCAACCTCTGCATTCCTTTCTAGAATTGTTTTGTTTTATTAATGAAAGCACTAGGAGAGAAAAAAAGAATTGGGACCTTTCACATTTTTGCATTTTAGCATTTCTCTTCCCCATTCCCCATATCAATGCCATCAGCTAAAAATAACCATTTATCTCATGAGAGCCAAACCAGAGAAAGTTGATATAACAGTGGAAGTGGCGTGGCCCATGGACTGATCCAAAATAAAGTCTTCTCTGAAAAGTATGGACATGTATGCCAAGTAATGACATGGGGGGAAAAAAACTAGAGGTCTTATGATTTTAAGAGATGACAGGATTATGAAAAGCAGTTAAGAACTGGCAAATTGAGTACATGATGAGGACTGTTGCCCTCCTAATGGCAGTGGACCAGAAGTGCAAGGTTTCTATTGTCCACAAGGTTTTAGAGTAAATTGGGCCCCTACTTCGAGATGTCATGATTAAGAATCTTTAAACTCCTTCATGTACATAGGAAAAATTTTAAAAGGTGTGAGACAGTATCTAAAATAATTTAGTTATTTAAAGTAGTTAAGTTATCTAAAATAAAATAATAAGAATTAAAGCTCTTAAGTGGAGAGAGACATTAACATTTCAACTTGGGGAAGGAAATCTGGCTTTTCTGTAAGGAAATACCTGGCTTATCATACATGTATAATTCGTAAATAATTCCTTACATAAATCATTTTGTCATGGTTCCATTTTATAACTTAAGTGTTGGTTGGTCCGAGAAGCTTTCTGGAAATGCTCACCAGTTTATACATTTTTTTAATAATGTTTATTTCAAGCTCCTCTTAAATATCAGGGTTTAATGTTTATAGAGGGTCTCATGGAAAATTCTTCCTTAATTTAATTCTCTCTCTCAATTCCACCTTTATTTCAGCTTTCACCAACAATCATCAATGGTTTACACAACATCGCAAGGAGCATTGAGACTCGAAACTACTCAGAAGGATTGACCATCCATACCCACATAGTTAGCACCAGCAACTTCAGTGAGACCTCTGCTTTTATGCCTGTTCTCAAAGTTGTTCTCACCCAGGCCAATAAGCTGGGTGTCTAAAGGATGGCTTCACTCTCAGCCACTATTGCCATTTTTCCAAAGAAACATGTTTTAAAAAGTGATAAGATGTGGACCAGTCCTCATTAGCATGTTTCCATAGCAGCCAGTCAAGAGCATTTACATTGTTTCTGCAGATATACTCACCTTAGACCTGCTCAAAGCCCTGGTGCTTTCTTTTGTTTTAATCTTTTATTGCCTGTGATGATTTTCCTATTCTGCAAATAATGTATTTCCTGGATTACACATAGTATGCTTTCCTGAAGTATTCTGATAAAATACGGTTTTTGAAACCTCAGGTTTACTTTTTGGAAAAGGAGCCTTTGGTTATGTGTAAAGCAGAGCTGAAACTAAATTTCTTTCACGTCCTCCCTACTTCCTCCATGTCAATCAGATTAAAGTGTGTAATCCTATTTATGTGTACGTAGTCTTTTTTTTAAACAGCTACTCACAGTTTAGTTTAATCTCTATTTTTTGTGGCTTTGGCTTCACTTTGGTCCTGAACAAATAACTAAATCTACAGACTGCTACATAGATTTTAGCAAATATTAATGAAAAGTGGGATCACTAGTTTTAAGTATCTATAGGAAAAGATTGAGCATTTTCATTCTGTAGGATGCATTGAACTTTTTTCTATTAATGTTTTCAGTATTCTGTTTGAGTTTTAAGATTGAATTGTCTCCATTTTATATTTAGAAATTTATTCATCCATTTTTTTAAAGTTACCTATTTCTCTGAGGTTTAAGTTCAGAAAGAAAGCTTTAACTTCTGTCAGCCTCCTGAATCGACATATTTTCAGACGGTATTTTCGTCAAATGATTTTATTGTAATCTGTCTTAAGAACAGTGTGGTAAACAAAAGATAATGGTCCCCATAGAATCTTGAGGAGAATTAGATACTAATAATTTTCATTGTTTAAGCAACTTTACCTAAGTGAGTTGGAAAACTAGAAGATAAAAAGTGTGACTGCTGTGAAGACAGGTGCTGTTTCAAGGACTAAGTGTAGTTCATCAGGCATTTTGCAGCCTAAGTGACATAGTTTACAAGACCCTCTTAATTTCCTTTGCTGGGATTCCCTGCTCACCAAATAAAACACCTCTTTTAAAAATAAAAATAGGGACTTCCCTGGTGGCACAGGGGTTAAGAATCCGCCTGCCGATGCAGGGGACACAGGTTTGCGCCGTGGTCCGCGAAGATCCCACATGCTGCGGAGCACCTAAGCCCGTACACCACAACTACTGAGCCTGTGCTCTACAGCCTGCGAGCTGCAGCTGCTGAGCCCACGTGCCACAACTACTGAAGCCCGAGTGCCTAGAGCCCGTGCTCCACAACAAGAGAAGCCACCGCAGTGAGAAGCCCGGGCACTGCAACAAAGAGTAACCCCCACTGGACTCAACTAGAGAAAGCCCATGCACAGCAACGAAGACCCAATGCAGACAAAACAAAAAAAGACATTAAAAAATAGAAATAGTTTTATAACTAAAAAAGGAGGACCTTGATAACATGTATGAGCATTGGAGCCTCACAAGTGGGGTGATGATATATCAGCTCCCCGGGAGTTTGGTGGTCTGAGTCAGTCCTAGGACACACTGAAGTGGCAACTTGACCTTCTGGACCTGACCCTCGACGTGGTGTCAGCCCAGGACCCCATCTGAACAGCAGGCTGGCCTCTAGTAATTGTTTTGATGTATTGCCCTTATAGTTAGGATTTGTGTTATGGCTGCATGATTACCTTGACATGACAATGGCAAAACTGGCAGCGTTTTACAAAAAAACATTCCAAAAGATGAGAAACAGGAATAGGTGGCAGTGGAGCCCTGACCAACCCCAAAGATTTTACACGTATGACTATAAAAAAACGATTTGCCACTGACATCCGAGCAACTGTTACAAGTGGATGGAGGTAAGAAGACTTGAACCCAAAATAGAGTTTAGTCTTGAAGTATGAAGATAACAGGAGATTATGGGAAGAGAACAGTTTGTTTTCCTGAAGAAAAGTGAACAAGGAAAGGGGTGTGAGGGAAACTGGTAGGTGGGGCTGGGTGTTGGCTGGGAGACATATCAGATCTCCGGGACGTGCTTTCTTATACTTAACCTGCTCCTCTCCTGCACTCCGCGTATGACCTTTTGGGCTGGATGGGATGGATGTACCTTAGGCCCCGTCTGAGAATCTCTTATGTGTGTGGGATGCACGGCTGATGGAGATGGTGGTTCATTCTAATAGTGTGGCAGCAGGAGAAAGTTGGAAACAACTGCTGTACATGTGACAAGAGTCCAACAAGCCTATATATTCCCTTGGATTCAGAAAATTCCCATGTATGCTGGAGGACAGAAAGATGCAGTAGGATTCCTGGCAACCAGATGTACTCTATTTAACACCTGCCTGAAAGATAAAGGGAGGGATGGTGATTGGTTAACACTTTTCTGATAACCACTTGTCTCCTGAACCAGATTTGTGTTCACCTAAGAATGACTGCAAGGCCATCTGTTGACTGCTCAGCCATGGTGGAGACTTCATTTGGAATGGACATCTACATATGCACACATACATATATACGTATGCACCCCTCTTTGTCATTCAACTGCTGCGGTGGCAGCATCCCCAGATGTCACCCCTGACAAATCTATCAGGGTGTTCATCAGATGCTGAAGATGTCACAGGCAGGTAGCATCTCCAATTATTCAGTGAAGAAGGACTGCCTATGCATAGAAGCTCTTAACTGTTTCCTCTGATAGATAAATGCTCCAAATCTTTTAACCAAACTAAATTACAAAGAAAAAGTGCTCAAATTAGCTTTATAGTTCCACTTTTCCTGGCACACTGGTTTTATATACATTTCTGTAGCATCTGCTCTGCTCAGGGCTTTGGTGACCATACCATTCACTCAGGCTCAGGTTGAGTAGTGCACCTACGAGCTGACTGGGGTCAGACTGTGCCATTCCTAAATTTCCAGCTGTTTGCTTTCTCTCCCTTCTGGGAGATACGGAATGTGTGGGTTTTAGGGTGTTGGGACAGACCTTGAAAAACCTAACAAAGTTAAACAAAAGGAAATAGACTTTGGTTTAACTGTGGTGCATGTTTTTTACACTCTGGATTAATGTTTCCAGAGACCTGCTAAAGTATTTATTTGGCAAACAATGTTAGTCACCTAGAATAACTTTGTATAAACATCATTACTCAGTAATGTCTAAGATCATTTTTTTAGTGGAGCTGCACACCCTGTTGATTTTTTTTGGTCCATTTTTTTTTTTAATAGGTTTATTTATTTTTGGCTGCGTTGGGTCTTCGTTGCTGCGCGCGGGCTTTCTCTAGTTGCGGCAAGCAGGGGCTACTCTTTGTTGTGGTGCGTGGACTTCTCGTTGCAGAGCACGGGCCCTAGGCATGCGGGCTTCAGTAGTTGTGGCTCAGTAGCTGTGGTGCATGGGCTTAGTTGCTCTGCGGCATGTGGGATCTTCGCGGACCAGGGCTCAAACCCGTGTCCCCTGCATTGGCAGGTGGATTCTTTTTTTTTTTTTGAGTAGCTCTTTTTTGGAGTATAATTGCTACACAATACTGTGTTAGTTTCTGTTGCACAACAAGGAGAATCAGCCATATGCATACACATGTCCCCATATGCCCTCCCTCTTGAGCCTGCCTCCCACCCTCCCTATCCCACCCCTCTAGGTGGTCACAAAGCACTGAGCCGATCTCCCTGTGCTATGCTGCTGCTTCCCACCAGCTATCTATTTTACGTTTGGTAGTGTATATATGTCCATGCTACTCTCACTTCACCCCAGCTTCACCCTCCCACCCCATGTCAAGTCCATTTTATATGTCTGCCTTTTTATTCCTGCCCTGCAAGTAAGTTCATCAGTACCTTTTTTTTTTTTAGATTCCATGTATATGTGTTAGTATATGGTATTTCTTTTTTTCTTTCTGACTTACTTCACTCTGTATGACAGACTCTACGTCCATCCACCTCACTACAAATAACTCAATTTCATATCTTTTTATGGCTGAGTAATATTCCATTGTATATATGTGCCACATCTTCTTTATCCATTCATCCGTCGATGGACACTTAGGTTGCTTCCATGTCCTGGCTATTGTAAATAGAGCTGCAATGAACATTGTGGTACATGACTCTTTTTTTTTTTTAACATCTTTATTGGGGTATAATTGCTTTACAATGGTGTGTTAGTTTCTGCTTTATAACAAAGTGAATCAGTTATACATATGTTCCCATATCTCTTCCCTCTTGCGTCTCCCTCCCTCCCACCCTCCCTATCCCACCCCTCCAGGTAGTACGTGACTCTTTTTGAATTATGGTTTTCTCAGGGTATATGCCCAGTAGTGGGAGTGCTGGGTCGTATGGTAGTTCTATTTTTCGTTTTTTAAGGAACCTCCATACTGTTCTCCATAGAGGCTGTATCAATTTACATTCCCACCAACAGAGCAAGAGGCCTCCCTTTTCTCCACACCCCCTCCAGCATTTATTGTTTCTAGATTTTTTGATAATGGCCATTCTGACCAGTGTGAGGTGATACCTCACTGTTCTTTTGATTTGCATTTCTCTAATAATTAGTGATGTTGAGCATCTTTTCATGTGCCTCTTGGCCATCTGTATGTCTTCCTTGGAGAAATGTCTATTTAGGTCTTCCACCCATTTTTTAACTGGATTGTTTGGGTTTTTTTGATATTGAGCTCCATGAGTTGTTTGTATATTTTGGAGATTAATCCTGTTGTTTCATTTGCAAATATTTTCTCCCATTCTGAGGGTTGTCTTTTTGTCTTGTTTATGGTTTCCTTTGCTGTGCAAGTTTTTAAGTTTAATTAAGTCAACTATCCTCCAATGTAAAATAAAAATTAAAAAAAATAAAGAATTTCTACGTGTAAAAAAAAAAGCTACTAGAGAGTCTGCTCTATCCCAGTTGCTATAATTACATCTTCACGAGGGACAGTGAAGCTGACCACCTATATGAGAGTCAAAGAGCTGGGTTCTAGTGTCTTCTCTGCCACTTACTGTTGGTCAAACCACCCCATTTCCTTTTGCCTCCATTTCTCACCTGTAAAATGAGAGGGTAGGACTAGATGATCTCTAATTTCACTTACAGCTCTGGAAGTCTATGACCCATCTACCTGTCCCACGGTGTCTTTGTATGTTACCTACAAGTCTTCAGAAGGAACCAAAAACAATTTTGGGATAGTACCAAAGCTTTGAAGAAGGATAGCAGCAACAACTCAAGCCTATTTATATTTGGATACCTTTTTTCCTCTCATAGAGTTGATTGATTTTTCTGAAGAACAATTAATGCAGTGCTTTCCTTGGTTGGAAATGAATAGGCAGGCATTTAAGAAATAAGTTTCTAATTTGAGGACTTGGGACAGATGTATTTGCTTGGCCTTGAGGTCCTTAAGTAGTGAGTCCCCCTCAGCA